GGCCCGCCTACATCGGCCTGAAGGCTGGCTGCTCCTTTCGGCTTCACGGGATTCATTTCCACGGTGCACAAAAGTGCCTCAAAAAATAAAAAGTGCAAAAGTGGAAGGTGTGCGGAAGAGGGGGTAGTCTTATACGGCGAGTATATAACAAACTCTATATTTTGAGTGGAAATGTTGGGGGGTCGTCTTATACGCCCAGTCGTCTTATACGCCGGCTAATATGGTAGGTGATTTACAGCAGAATTCAAAACACCAAAACTCATTTTGTAACTGTGTTAACATTTGACACGTATTACATTAATAAAAGAATATGGGGTTGATAGCTTTAAGGAAGTGCTTGTGTGTTTTGATATCCTTAGGTCAGGGGTCAGCAACCCATGGCTCTGGAGCCGCATGTGGCTCTTTCATCCCTCTGATGCGGCTCCCTGTCGCCAGTTGGCTCCACAATTGATAGTGCTTTCTGTGAGGACAGGTAGAGGAAAAAGGATGCCACACTAGGAGGAAACACTATGGTGGGGAAACCAGACTTCCAGTCGGCAGAGAAAAGGATCCCATGCTAGGAGGAGACTCTCTGGTGGGGGAATTGGACTTCCGATCAGCAGAGGAAAAAGGACGCTGCACTAGGAGGAAACTATGGTGGGGGAACTGGACTTCCAGTCAGCAGAGAGAGAAAAAAAGAATGCTGCTCTAGGAGGAGATTCTATGGTGGACAAACAGGACTTCCAGTTGGCTCCAGAATTGAACAGGGAGCTTCCGGTTAGGGTCTTTGTGGCTCTTTGAGTGTTTAAGGCTGCCGACTGGAAGTCCTTAGATAACAAACTCTTCAAAAAACAGTCTACGAAGGGCAGAAATGCAGTCCGAACCCAAAGTAAAGATAATTAGAAATAAAAACAACAACACCAACCACACTGAAGTAATTAGCACGGCAGGCCAGGATGATAAATTGCACACTTTCAAAGGATAACGCAGCATCCAGAGTTGGGAGGACGCCAAAACCCAGATAAGGCTCGATCAAGATAATGCATGCTTTGCTTCCAGCCAGGAGCCGTGTGCAAATGCCCCACTTATATCCTGTTCTCCCAGCTGCAACTAATGAAAGGGATCAGGGCCTTCTCTCTCGTAAGCCGTGTTGCTCCCTTCTCCATTCCTCCCTGCATGCCCTAGATGAAGAGGGGATGGCCCTGGGTCTTCCTCTGAATGCCCAGCTGGACCCCTGTTTCTACCAGAGCCACACTCCCACTTCCTGTTATCTGCTCAATCTCCCCCTCAGAATCAGACTCCAAGGGCATGACAGACAATTTTTCTTTCACCTACAAACCTAAATGACACATCACAAACAAATTTCAGCTTTCATTATAATATAAGAATGGATGCTACAGAGTGAACAATATAACTTCAGTAATCTGAAATGCATATTTAAATAGCAATATTAAGGAGTAGTCTGTTGTTCAGCCTTAAATTGGAATTAGTAAAAACTAAAACCCAACCTCAATTATGTAAATATTTTTGTAGTTTTATATCTGAAATATAAATTTTGGGGACGTGGTTTGTATAGAAACATAATTAAATAATTATTTAATAATTATAATTATTTAAAAGAATTATTACATTTGTAATAATAGACATTCTTTTTGCAGATAAAGTTATAAATTTTTCATGCCAGTAAGTTAATATGGTATAATAAAGGGATTTATTACCATAAACCAAGCCCTGTATAAATTCTCTAAAGGAGAATTTTAGACATGGTTGGACTATATTTATGACAGGTTAAAATATGTTAACTATTAAATCCTATGACTGTAGAAGAGTGATAATTCTGAAGTTTATGAAGATCATAATATGTGAAGTGACAAATTTATGATATAAGTAAAATATGAGGCACTTTTTTCTTCTGTGATAAATCTTACATTGCTGCCTGAGTATTATAAACTTCTTTTTAAAATCTTTACTTTGTTTTTAACATTTGGAATTTTGGCATTTATTAATTTTTGTAGTGAATACATTTAATATATAAATATCTTATTTAATTATAACTTATATTTTATGATATTATTTTCATGGATAAATATGTTAAAAAGAATTCCACTGATTTGTCCATAAACACTAATCAACGTTGTGCTTCATGTGCCATTTTGTTTCAAAAGAGTTTGCATTTAAAATCAGTGCAACTTCTAGGATTTTGTTGCTGTTTACTACAAAGCAAATAGTACCATTTGCCACAAAATTTCAACTTAAGATGAAAGAATTGATCTTATACATATTAATAATTATTAAATTTATATGTTGCACAACACCCAGAATTATAGAGGCATGGATAGTTAATCTGAACCATTGTTTCCAGCTTATTTGCAGTAGATCTAAAGCTTTGAACACTAAAAAAGGTGTATTTCTGCTTGCTTAATCATGCTTGTGCTTCTGATCTGAGAAGGTTAGAAATAATAAGTCTTTATTTTTTCCTTTTAAAGACGCTGTGTGGACAGTAATGACTGGACGTTTCCGATTGCCTGCTGGCAGAACCTACAATGTACGAGCATCTGAGCTGGCACGAGATAGACAGCATACAGAGGTGGTCTGCAATATTCTTCTTCTAGATAATACTGTACAAGCATTCAGGCTTAACGTAAGTACAGTGTTTAAGAAGCATTTCTATAATACAATATTAATTTCATTTTTAACAATTTTATAACATTTAATACAAAATAGAATAATAGAATTGGGAGGGGCATTTATGTCATCAAATTCAACCTCAACTTTGGTACAAGAAACCAAATGAAAGCATCCTTGACTACTTGCTATCAAATCTCTGTTTAAATATATCCAGTAAAGGAGAGCTTTCACAGTAATTACTTTCACTCCAAATGTCTTTACCATTTGCAATTTTTCCTGACAGTCAAAAAAATTTGCCTCCCTGTATTTAATGCCATTATTTTGTGTTCTACTCACTAGGATGATAGAATGTAGCCACTGTGTTTTCCTAAAAACATGACTTTCTTTTAAGAACCTGAAACATGTTCTTTAAATTCCTCACCCATTTTGACATTTTTAGGGCTAAACTTGCCTATTTTCTTTAGCCTCTTCTCCTTTCGAGGCTTTGTTTCTAGTCTTCCCATCATTTTTGTTTAATGTATTTTGCATTTGTTAAGTTTTAACAATATAAAGATTCCTCTTAAAGTATTAAACCATGGTGGTGCAGTAGCACTGTGGTTACAATGGAGTTTTGCAGGCTGTCTCTGCTCATTGCCAGGAGTTCAGTACTGACACTATTGCTAAGAGAGATAGTGGCCCAATGGTTAGAATGCAGTATTGCAGGCTAACTCTGCATTCTACTGCCAAGAGTTCGATTCTATCCAGGTCAGGGTTGATTCAGCCTTCCATCCTTCCGAGGTCGGTAAAATGAGTACCCAGATTGTTGGGGGGGATATGCTGACTCTATAAACCACTTAGAGAGGACTATAAAGCACTGATGCGGTATATAAGTCTAAGCACTATTGTTATTGCTGTTGTACCAGAAACATAACACAGTGGTATCAGCAGTACAGAATACAGTGAAATACTACATTTCCATGATTTGGAAACTGCTTTGACTAATAAAAACTTTTTTTTTTGGCCTTCTTGCTAGCATATAAGATTGGTGGTACATATTCCTGTTCTGATAATCTACCACTAAAAATGGCAAAAACAGTAATATGGTATAACAGTTGTTTTGCCTTTGTCCTTGCTGCTTTTATTGGGATTTTCTAGAATATTTTTGTAAATTAACATCAGATGTTTCTGTCCTGAACCTGTTTAGGAAGAAAAACAATGATGGTTTAAGAACCAAAATGAAAACCAACATAGTTTGATTTTAGTCTGTTAACAGTAGTTTCATGAAATGGATTAATAATGCAAGAAAAACCAGTACTGAAGTTTCTAATTCATAAAATCTATAATCTGTTCAACAATAGATTAGCAAAAGTGACATAGGCAAACAGCTATTTCTTTTTCTCAGGCATATAACAGTGATAATGGCAGGAGTGGGATTCAAATTTTTTAACAACCGGTTCTGTGGGCGTGGCTTAGTTGGTGGGCATGGCTTGGTGGTCATGTGACTGGGTGGACATGGCTTGGTGGTCATATTATTGGCTGGGCATGGCCAACTCAATATCACTCACATCGACTCATGCATCTCCTCGCCTGGCCTCTCATGACTTTGGGGATGCTGCAACAGTCGTAAGTTTGAAAAATGGTCATAAGTCACTTTTTTCAGTGTCACTGTAACTTTGAATGGTCACTCCACACAAGCAAAGTACCAGCAAAGGAGGGGAAAAAACCCTCCAGAGAAGTTCCTGAGACAGAAAGTCTAGTCCTGCCAAGAACGTAATAAGGGTTAACAGAGAGACAGTTTCTGTAAGCAACATCAAAAATTTTCGTTCCTGCCTTCCTTACAGGATTAGGCCAGTAATTTCTTCTAACCGGTTCTCCGAACTGCTTAGAATGTTAACCGGTTCTAGCTAATAGGTGCGAACTGGTAGAATCCCACCCCTGGATAATGGATTGTTTTTTGTTCCATGGATTATATATGATTAATTATTGGGGAACCAAGGGCTTCTTTTGTTCTTACTGTCATATATAAATAAAAAATCTATTTGAATTGATTTGTATTAATATATATTAATTTGTTGGTACAGTGGTAATTTCAAAATAAGAATTAGAAGTAAGAAAACTGAGATCAAGGAAGAGAGCAGACTTGTAAGAAGGCATACAGTATTTATCTTATTTATGTATTTTTTTCCTTCACATATAATATGTGATGGACATTCACTGAGAATAGAAAAAGCTGTTGAAAACATGAATGAGCAGGAGGTACAGATGGCTGAAGATGTCCCTGCTGAGGATGACCTTGAAGATCAGCTTCCCAAGCAACTTGGGAGGTGTGGAGCTTATCTATGCTGCTCATGCATTTTAATCCTTTCTGAAACACACAAGTAGGATTTCTATCCTTTTTCTTGCCTGTCCAAACTAGTTATCTCTTCTCTTTTTCACATTTCCATTCAGTTTCATTTGGCCTTTCTTATATTTTAACATAATCTTCTCTTAATCTATTTCAACAAAGTTCCTTTTTCTTGCTTTTGATGAAAGGAAGGTGTATGTATCTAACACTGCTTTACTTGTATGCAAGAGGATGATTGATATATGGTGGGGACATTTTTATAAGTAGAATACTTATTTTATCAAAAACAAAATAATATGATATCTTATTTTCCAAGAGAGTCAATTTGGTCTAGTGGTTGAGGAACCAAGCTAGAAAGCAGGAGTCTTCTGTTCTCTCAGGAAAGCATGAAAGCCGGTTGGGTGACTTTGAGAATTCACTGTCTCTCAGCCCACAACATCAAGCTCAAGTGGTAAGCCAGTTGGTCAATTCCAATTGCAACCAATGAATCGGTATTAGGTTGATCTGGAAAAATAAAGTGGACTCTGCAGTTGGCAGAATATGTGCTAGGACCAAAAAAATTAACTACCTATATTTTTTTTTACTCTTGGCTCTATTTTTTTTGGTGGGGGGGAGAGAATATGATTTCTGGACACACACACACACAAACCCCCCCCCCCCCCCCTTACCTATGATTTTATGCACATTCATATATAATTGTGCTACATGCATATATTTAATGGGCGAAGGGGAAATCACCAAAAGAGCTTTTCGTTAGAGTTGCATCTTTAAATTGACAAGGTATAGAAAAGCTGGATCTCTCTCTCTCTCTCCCCCTCCCTCTCTCCCTCAGGGTGATGTTTCATAATTCGTTTTTCTGATTTCTCATTAGTGAATGTTGATTACCTTTTTCAGTGGAATCTTTGCAGATTGCCAATTTGCAAATTCTTATTGATCTTGTTTAAAATACTGACCATGATCTAATTCTAGGTTGTTTTTTTAAAAAAGATATCTCTTGGGCTATTAGTAGTCAATATGTCTTCTTCCTTGTTTTCTGTCTTTTCCCTCTTTTACTTACTTGGTTATATTATGCTGGGTTTTTTTCTTTTTTTGATAATATGCACAGAAGGAATATTATACCTGTGTTCTGAGAACTTGCACATATACACTGACACATGGCTCATCTTCTTAGAAGCACGCAAAGAGAAGGTGTGGCTTTTGAGACTCTGAGAAGTATTTATGGAATATACAGTATGAAGATGTGAGTTGTCTGTGGCATTTGTTGGATTAAAACAACAAGGGCCTTCCTGTTTGGGTGGAAGTGATGCTAATATTACCTAGGTCCTTCTGTTCCTCCCATTCCTGTCTACGAGTTTTGCATTTTTGTGGGTTGAAATTGGCAGGGTGTGTGAATTCATATGGAGAACTGTCCTTGCAACCTAAAGTGATTTCCCCATGATCTTTTTTATAACCTTTGCAGCACATCAGTCATATAGCCATTTTCTCCAAAAGTTGACAGAATTCTCCTGCTATATTTGAAAATGGAACGTTGCTGAATTACATGTCTCAATATTCCTCCCAAATAAAATGAAGTTAAAATAAAAATATACATAATAATACATTTTTTATTTTAATATTTTTGTACAATTAAAAATTAAAATAGGTATATCTTTGTTTCCCCAAAAAGCAGATTATAACACAACGTAATATTTACTCACAATCGTATGTTCTTCAGTGGTAAACTAATGAACTTGAATTTACTATAAAATAAAATATTACAACAAGATTCAACATTAACATAGTGCAAAACTGTTGGTTTTTTAAAATCAAAATCTGACATTCTAATTTTGTTAGTATTATTTTCCAATATATTCCCAGTGTGTTTTGCAATTAAATTTAAATGTTATAAATAAGCCAGTTATAACAAGCAGGAATGTTTACCTATTTCTCTCATTTGTTAATTACTTGGTCTTTGCTGCTGATCATAAGCAGGTTCTACGACTGAAGTTCATAAAGGGAAATATATTTTCTCCCCAAGTCATGTAGAAATATTGCGCAGAACTAAAAATCTGGGAATAGAAAACTGTGTGTACTTGTACTTTCATGTGAAAAGCTTTATCATTTAGTGCAGTGTTCTTAAACTGGGGGTAATTACTCCCGGTAGGGGTAATTTGGGCATATCTGGGAGTAATGGAGCACTTTGTAATAGCTTGTTTGTGAGTCGATGATCCAGTTTGGAATTGCTGCTCCTGAGATACTTTATAAAACAAGAGTCTGCTTTTTTGTAATAACATCATTTGAGACTGAGAAATGGGATAATTGGATCAAAAAAGTTCAAGAGCCACTGAGTTGGTGGATATTTAATTTTAATATGCACAGAAAGGAAATTATGCATAAATTGGCCAGCAGGTCAAAGTGTGAAAGATGTAATGAAATAAGGTACAAGTACAGAGTCTAAAAGGAACAAAGGAAATAAAGGTGTGGTTAAACAGCATACCTGTCAGATATAAGAGGAAGAGACTAGTTTATATTCTCATGGGCAGGGCAGACTGTTGAAAATGTTCTACAAGTTCTAAGTCTACAATGAAATTTAGTAGAAGTGGAGGTCATTTAACTCTGAAATGGACATTGACATATAATCATTTTGACATGTGCAATTATATTCAATTGTACTTTACAAGAGAAGCAATTTTTAAAACATTTGACGTTTAGTTCAACCAGTATTAACTTCTTATTAAATGTTTAACAATTGTTTCAATAGACCAGGAAAATATGAAGAATCAATGAAAAATGCAATAAAAAATCCTCTTGTCACTTGTCTTTTTTTAAAGGATGCCCTTTGTATCTTTGCCCCCTTTAGTTTTTTAATACATAAATGAAAATATATACAAAAGAATTTTTCTTGATTTTTTGTGGAAATTCCATTGCAAAAAATTTACAAGCAAAAGAGTTGAAAGAATGTGTATTCTGTGTGGGTATATGTTTGGTTTGCTAAATGTTTGAAAATATCTCTTCCTGAATTTCTATATTATTTGGGGCTAGTCCAAATTATTACTGGCAGAATGTTAAGTTTTGGTTGAAACTTTAGCTTTATCTGTAAACTATTTTTGTTATTTTTCTTTCTTTCTACAGAAACATGATCAGGGACAAGTTCTGTTGGATGTAGTTTTCAAACATCTTGATCTGACTGAGAGAGACTATTTTGGTTTACAAGTGGCTGATGATTCTACTGATAACCCTGTAAGCTATACTATATCTTCCCCTTTTCTCTTCTCTTGGCATTTGAGATTTTGTTTTATTGATCATAACACTGTGTGTATGTATGTGTGTGTGTGTGTGCGTGTGTGCGCACACATATAGTTTCTGTAGAAAAATTATTATGAGCAATTTATTGGTCATGTTTCACTTCTTTTCCTCCTTAAAATAAAATAAATTTGGACATTTGTTTTCTGGTATAATATAAATATCTTCAGTTTATTCTCTCTGTAAATTCCTGAGTTCTTTGGCCCAATTAAATGGTAACAGGTGCCACTGAGAGGCAAATGAAAATAAAGACAATTCTTATCTTGTCTAGTTCTTGGCGTAGGCTACACAGTTATCAGAAATATTTCAGATCTTAAGACAGATGTGAATTGATATTAGAAAGAAATCTCAATTAGCTCTATCAAAGAATGCCTAGTGTTTTCTGCTACTGTTTATTCTAGGGACTTTAGAAAAATATTGGAGGCTGGTTACTAATTATCAAAATTTGTAGGATCCAAACATTGATCTTTCAACAGTTCTTTTAGAGACAATGGATCACATATCTCTTGATATTTTTTTCACATGTTTAATCTATCTAACCAGTTTGTCTCTGACATTTGGTAACACTCCAGGATAGAGCAAGGTAGAACAATAGATATTTCAATGACTGAGAAAAAACAAAGTTGAATATACAGGTGAAACTCAAAAAATTAGAATATCGTGCAAAAGTTCATTTATTTCAATAATGCAGCTTAAAAGGTGAAACTAATATATGAGATAGACTCATTACATGCAAAGCAAGATAGTTCAAGCCGTGATTTGACATAATTGTGATGATTATGGCTTACAGCTCATGAAAACCCCAAATCCACAATCTCAGAAAATTAGAATATTACATGCAATCAATAAAACAAGGATTGTACATAGAACAATATCGGACCTCTGAAAAGTATAAGTATGCATATGTACTCAGTACTTGGTTTGGGCCCCTTTTGCAGCAATTACTGCCTCAAATGCAGCGTGGCATGGAAGCTACCAGCCTGTGGCACTGCTGAGGTATTATGGAAGACCAGGATGCTTCAATAGTGGCCTTCAGCTCTTCTGCATTGTTCGGTCTCATGTCTCTCATCTTTCTCTTGGCAATGCCCCATAGATTCTCTAGGGGGTTCAGGTCAGGCGAGTTTGCTGGCCAATCAAGCACAGTAATCCCACGGTTATTGAACCAGGTTTTGGTGCTTTTGGCAGTGTGGGCAGGTGCCAAGTCCTGCTGGAAAATGAAGTCAGCATCGCCATAAAGCTCATCTGCGGAAGGAAGCATGAAGTGCTCCTGGTAGACGGCTGTGTTGACCCTGGACTTAGTGAAGCACAGTGGACCAACACCAGCAGATGACATGGCTCCCCAAATCAACACAGACTGTGGAAACTTCACACTGGACTTCAAGCATCTTGCAGTGTGTGCCTCTCCATTCTTCCTCCAGACTCTGGGTCCTTGGTTTCCAAATGAGATGCAAAAGTTGCTCTCATCAGAAAAGAGGACTTTGGACCACTGAGCAAGAGGCCAGTTCTGTTTTTCTTTAGACCAGGTAAGACGCTTCTGACATTGTTTGTTGTTCAGGAGCGACGTGACAAGAGGAATACGACATTTGAAGCCCATGTCCAGGATCCATCTGTGTGTGGTGGCCTTGATGCACTGACTCCAGCCTCAGTCCATTCCTTGTGAAAGTCCCCAACACTTTTGAATGGTCTTTTCCTGACAATTCTCCCCAGGCTGCGGTCATCCTTGCTGCTTGTGCACCTTTTTCTTCCACACTTTTCCCTTCCACATAACTTTCTATTAATGTGCTTTGATACAGCACTTTGGGAACATCCAACTTCTTTTGCAATTACTTTTTGAGGCTTTCCCTCCTTATGGAGGGTGTCAATGATGGTTTTCTGCACAACTGTCAGGTCAGCAGTCTTTCCCATGATTGTGATTCCTACTGAACCAGACTGAGAGACCATTTAAAGGCTCAGGAACCCTTTGCAGGTGTTATGGCTTAATTAGCTGATTAGAGTGGGGTACTTTGAGCCTAGAATATTGAACCTTTTCACAATATTCCAATTTTCTGAGATTGTGGATTTGGGGTTTTCATGAGCTGTAAGCCATAATCATCACAATTATGCCTAATCATGGCTTGAACTAACTTGTTTTGCATGTAATGAGTCTATCTCATATATTAGTTTCACCTTTTAAGTTGCATTACTGAAATAAATGAACTTTTGCACGATATTCTAATTTTTCCAGAGTTTCACCTGTACAATTCAATATACAAAGGTTGTATATTCTAATTTGAGAGTTTAACACAGATTACATAAATTCTTCCTTTTACTTTTATTTTTGCTCCTGAGGTCTGTGTAATATATTTATTAAACATAAAATCCCTTTGTGTGTACATATGGCAGACTGCAACAGGAAAACAACGTGCAATCTTTAGTTCATTCAGACTTTTTTCTGCACTAAAATCATGTATCATTGCTTTTAATTTCATCCAAGAACAGAATAAGAAATAAGGCAATGAACAGATATCTATTAATAATGGTCTAATCAGAACCTATAAGTAAATCCATAAACAAATTCACAATAATAGACTAATATCCTGCTATTAAAAGTAGATGAATATTTGAGATAATAGAAATTAGTCCAAAATGCAAATAACCATGAAAAGAGTTTTCTAAATCATGATAAAATCATACACAAAGTCCTCACATAAACAGAAAGAATGTAATCAGAAAAAGCAAAAAATGAAGAGATTCAAGGTAATTATTTTTATAATCTTAAATATTTTCACAAATTACCATTTGTATCTTATATTGTACCAGATATCCCCAAACTTTCTCAGACCTTAATGTCTCACCATTTTTTTTCATGGCACCCATAGCACTTCTCAAACTATATGTCCTAGTGTCCTGAGAACAGTTAGGACACCATCATTTATTCTGAAATCAGAACTATAGTTTGCTGTTAATTACTGTAGATCATCAGGAATATTTATTCTTTTTGAGTTTATTAAAATAAATATATCATTAATTAACTTGGTTGGCTAGTTTTGTAGCCTAAGATAATTCTTACAGATGGTTCATACATTGCTGTTATATGGAGATCATTATGGGCACTTCCAGAGGCATGCTCATACTCCAGCTTTTTATAATAATGAAAACACTTAGATAAGAATATTGTAAATATTTTAATCTCTTGCAAAGTAGTTAATGATCTTATGAGAGAAATCACATTAATAACATGAATAACATGGCAAATTCATTAGATGGGATATGTAAGAAAAGTATCAAGGTTAATTATAACATGTTACTCTCAAAGTGGGCCCTTCCTTTCCCTTTTCACACATATATAATTAAATTTTGCTCTTGTCTCTGTCTTGACAGTTTTCTTACTTGATTTAATTTATTATTAGGAAGGAAACAGAGTAATTTGTAACAAAAAAAATCCCACCCCCCAAAGGTATGTGCATAACAACAGCACCAAAATCTAACAGAGTTTATTAAATAATGTGACTAGACTTAGGAAAATATATTCAATTTAGCTGATCATCTATTATAACTGAATGGAATTTTATACATGCCTGTTGTATGTAAAATGAGAGTTTATGAGTGCACAAAAGTATAAAGACAGATGATGTCTGTTTCCTCCAAAGTTTGCTAAACTGAAATTCATTAAATCAAGGATTTGCTGTATTACCAAACAGCTTTAACAAAGTTAATTAACCAGCTTGATTTTAAAATAAAAAGTTCTCCACTAATTATTCTTGGTATTCTTAATATTCATCTTATATATTGATATACACTGCTGTATTTTCATCACAATTTATTTTAATCTAAATAACTTTCCTCCTGTAACTTTCTCCATCATGTTTGCTCATTTTTGTTAATGTAATATTTGTAATTTTTCAAATTCTTCCAAAAATCATATGGTAAAGTAGTACATTTGTGTGTGTGTGTGTGTTAGTTATACCATAAAGTTTCTTGGCAAAGGATGGCAGTTTTGTTTGTTGATTTTTATAAAAATCAAATCATAGTGATTGTACATTCCATGAATGTCTAATCCATCTTTGATGATTGAGTCTGCAGTGAATGAGTTCTAGAAATCATTTGACTAGAAAAGCATTCACAAAATATTGCATACATAAATTAGTAACACACCCACTGGCTCATAGTACTGAGAAGCAAAATTAGACAAGCGTAATTTCCTAAAGAAAATAGAACTATTTTAAACAGGATGCATGTGGCCTTTTGTTCTTTCTAATCACCAGGGTGCACATCTAAATTCAATTTGTCTCAAATTGGTTTCTTGTCAAATTGGGGGGTGGAGAGGAAAGCCAACATGACGTGTTCATTACAGGTGTTTCCAGATGAATGTAATAAATAAAAAAATTAAAATATATTTCACTAATCCGGAAATTAAAACTAATAAGGAAGATAATTTCCTTTGGGGTTAAATGGGATTCTTTATTAAAAATGATATACTTAAAGAGAAACTGAAATAATCTTGTTCTCTGGATTTTTCCATGTCCCCTTGACATTGATTTCAACTGTTGTTTTATAGACTAATTTTGGGTGTAAAATGTTCTGATGATAGATTAGGGGACATTTAAATTTTTGGCATACCATCCCCCAAAGGATAGTAAGCTTTAAACAAGGTATGTTTATCCTGCATTGTTAGCCACACTGACTACATATAATATAATCTGTGAGTCCTGGTTCAGGGTTTCCAGAACAGGTCCCAGAGTTTACCTGCAGCTGGCTGTCCAGGATGAATATGCCATGCATTTTATGAACTCTGTGCTCATTTCAGTATCACTGCAAACAAAAACTGTGTCTTTAATATTTCCTTGTTTTGAAATGTGGCAAAAATGTATCTTGTTTTGGAAAAAATATAATAAGCCAAATCTTTTTTTCTCACTCAGAGGTGGCTGGATCCAAACAAGCCAATTAGGAAACAGTTGAAAAGTGAGCAAAATATTTTATCTACTTTGAATAAAAATCATCAGTAAATTTAGATAAAACCCCAAGTAAGCTAAAACATCAAGTTCTAATCAGATGTTTTGGTTCATTTTAGGAGGATCACCCCACAATTTGAACTTCAGAGTCAAATTTTTTGTAAGCGATCCTAGTAAGCTTCAAGAAGAATATACAAGGTATCTGTCTTTTTTATTTTAAATCAGTTACCTCTTTGTTTTATTATGTAAAACATAATGCTGTTGGTGTTAACTTTACATATATTTGATTTTATAGAAGGCATTATGTAAGATAGTGGAGCTTCAGCTTCAGAGTGTCCTAGAAGAATCCAGTTTTCTGGATCTTTTGCAGTCATTCTTGAGTGGTCAGTTCTATTTTTCCCTCCCCCTTTGCATCCATAGTTGTTCCAATTTGGTTCAATGTGAAATCCATAATTCTTTTCCCCCATGCTTTTTAGTACCTACATGAAACCCTTGGGTAGGTTGTGTGTCAGTTCAGAGGGACTTATTATTGGTGTAATGATGAAAATGAATAGTATGTATTCATCTCAAGTTAAACCTGGGTTCTATCAAAGTTCTGACTCGGCATCTAGAAACTGTCAGTCCTGTTTGTCAGATCTGGCTTGATTTCATTTCCACTATTTACTTTAGATAGGGTTCCACTGGCCCTAAAGAAACTGGTCTGTGATTTGAGGTTTCTTTGAATTCAGGTTTCTGCTGGAACAGAAGGTTGAACTATGGACACAAGGGCCTTTCCAAGGTTTCACTGATTGGCCCAGTTGCAGGTCTTTGAGACAAGGAGGCATTTTCAATAGTCAGCCAAGCATTCTTCACTCTTAGTTGGACTAAAGCAATGCATTCCATGTGGGCCCTGCCTTACATTATTGCTCAGAAATATAACCACCTGTCTGCTGAGTAGAAATAGGACATTTATCAATGTGCCACTGAGGCTACAGCTGCTGCATTAGAACAAGTGCTAGCTTTTACCTTTAAATTCTACATGACTTGATTCCTGAGTATTTACAGGTCCTTCTTTCTTGGCAAAAATCAGGCTGCCCCATTTGTGCTGAGTGGGGAGTATATTGAAGTATACTGTGCTATGTTTTCCCACTGATATAAAGAGAGGACTGTGGGAGTCCAATGAGATGCTGAATCTTCTTGAGTACTAGAAGGTAGAAAAGTACATAATTCTTTGTGTAAATATATAAGTATATAGTAAATATCCTGAACAGCTTATTCATAAACATTTATTCAAAATATTCATACACATATATTCAAATTATATGAAGTTTTCAATGTATTGATGTAAACAAGATGGACAGATTCATGCTTTTTAAATTCATACACATTTGGTAACTTTAAAAAAATCAGTTGTATGTTTAATGTGGATAAATATCTATAAGAACATTTTTTAAAGAAAAGTTTTTGAAAGCATTTATTGCTGCAATTTGTTTTTGCAAGGTATCTTTAATCCTAGTTGAGTTCCAGCACAGAAATTGTTTACAATGTATATTGTAAGGAAAAAATCAGACAACTGAATTTAATTTCATTGAGGATTTGCATAACTGCAGCACTGCATTTATTTAATCTGCTTTTATTGTCCCTTAATACCTGAAAGCCTTCCAGGGTACCACCATTTTTCTGACAAACACATAGTATAAAATAACAAATGCGTATAGAAGTTATACTGTTTCAAATGTAATGTCCCTTTAATAGTAATTTTATGAAGGATTATAAATGTAACAGTAAATAATACAAACTCAGTAAATAAAACAAAAGAAAACTGGAAAGTGCAGGAAAGAAGAAAAAAAATAGGGGAAAATAGAAATTGAAAAGAAAGAATATAATAAAGAAAGGAAATACATAAAGATGTGACTTCACACCTTCATTACAAGTATGAAGAATTTTAGTAACATCACTTTCTCTTAAATAGAGCAAATGATCTCTTTTTCCCATATCCCATCTCTTGTCTGTAAACAAATACATAAAGCTCATATTTCAGTTCTGATATCAGCAAAAGTCCACTAAGACCTACCAGAGATAACATGCAGTATCTACCTTAACCTTGATAAAATAAGTCAAGTTGATATTCCTTCCTTTTACATCTAAAAATCTTGATATTCGGTTCCTTTAAATAAGGCACCTAGAACCTGATTTTGTCTTTCAATTTTTCTTTGTCTTTCTCACAAAATTCTTCAAAACTTTAAGGAGCTTTTTTTGGTAAATCCATCATAAGAAAATCATCCAGGTCAAGACATCATCCGGTTTCTTTTGAATGACCAATGTAACATCTTTTATCATGTCATTCTTAACTCAATCTTGTCAGGTAGAACTTGTTCCTCATCCATAATATATTTTAAACACAGTCTGTCTTTAGAGGCAGACACTATTAAAATTAACTTCTGGATCCATTACTGAAAAATATACTTCAATATGTCCAGTGTTAATTTTGTTACTCATTCTGTGATTTTAAATTGAATATGAGTGTACATTTCCTTTAATTGAAATCTTAAGTTCCCTGTAGTCTCTCTACTGTCCAATTTTTAAAGTCTTTATCTTACTATGTTTTAAAAAAAAAATCAGTGGAAAAAATTAATTGTATTTAATTTCAAAGACTTATCTCAATTATCTGGAGTCTTAATCCATTCATAACTTTCTAATATCAATGAAGGAGAATATTTGTGGCTCAGGATTGAAATAATGTGAGATTATTACTAGGCAAAATAAGGGTATTTCATAAAATGCAGTTGCCAAAGTCAAATGATACTTTAATTTTGTTAAATAAAAAAATAATAGTAAGTTTGTCAACCTGTTGTTCTTGTTTACTTTTTCTTTAAGGTACCAGTATTTTTTGCAAATTAAACAAGATATTCTTACTGGAAGGTAAGATTTGTTTGTTTTACAAACTTGAGTGTCTTGTGATTCAGGGCAGGGATGGGCAGCATTCATTAAACAGCATGACATAATACTATAATCAAGTGATTGCATGCATTATGTGAAAAATTTAAAATGTGTGCTAGAATATTGTAAGTGTATATGTACTGATGGGACATCACATTTTATAATGAATTCAGAATTATACTAAATATTGTTTAAATGCTAAAATTTTCTTACCTGTCTGTTAATATTCTTGCACTTCCAATTCTCAAGAGGATGTAGAATTTCTATTCCTTCCAGGTAGACAGTATGTTCTATTAAAACATATAGTGACCATGTTTGTTTTGAATGACATGTTAGCATTCTGAGAAACTGCTCATTTATATTTGCCTCTCCCTGAGTTGCCAACTACAAAAGACAAACTCTGATTTCATATGTTAATAGACTTGGAGATCTTGCCAGTCTTTATCAGACTAGGATATAAAAACCATGGTTCTTAATTTATAAATCCTAGCTTTTCTGGGTGTCAGGCTATTGATATTAATAAGCAAATTTCCTTTGTTTATGGTTGTAATAAGAGAAACACAGAATCAATGAAAGGCTGCATCAGTATTCAGCTTAAACACAGCAAACCAGTATTATTTAGAATCCTGCCTTAGCATTTTGATATGTCTATACTGATAGTCCTCCATTAATGACTACCCTGTTTAGTGCCCATTTAAAGTTACAACAGCACTGAAAAAGTAACTTTATGGCTGGTCCTTGAACTTATGTCACATTGCAGTGTCCCCACATGATTACCATTCGGGCACTTTGCAATCAGTGCATCAACGTAGCCTGATTTACAACCATCACAGTTTACCACAGTTACATAATTGCCATTTGTGAGCTTCACCACAAGCAAAGTCAACGGAGAAACCAGCAGTAAAATCCATGATGACTTGCTTAATGACCACAGGTGATTCACTTAACAACCACACTGGAACTGATTTTGTAAATTCTATGTGGTCATGTGATATTTCATTGAGTGCTTGCACGGCTTAACAATAGGGCTGCCAGTCCCAATTGTGGTTATTAAGTGAGGAGTACCTGCACATACCAGTTTATTCATATCCAAAATAGTTAAATGTATACTTTTAATCATTTAAATATCAATTGATAGGCATATTTTTATTTTTTAAAATAGGAAAGTATATCATGATTCAGTTCATGTACAAAGTTTTTGTAAGGAAATATATCCACACAGTTCAGCAGGTTCACCTAATTTAAATAAATTGATAAAATAGTTTGGATTTAAATATTGTAGTTCATGGTTGAGATTTTTAGGTTTTATTTTTTACTTTTTACAGATTGCCCTGTCCTTATAATACTGCTGTACTCTTGGCTTCCTATGCTGTTCAGTGTAAGTACATATGTAAGTGTTTAAAATTGAGAACATACTGGTCTTGTCTGACATTTCTATGTTACACTGTGCCCCTTTCCTACAAATTCATGATACTTACAGATCTATGTAATAGAAAAATGATAACTCTTCTCCAATATTGCTCCCTAGCAGGTAACATTTTAGACATGCTGCCTGTACTCAAAGTGCTAATCAGTACCAGACTAGTAAGCATACTAGTACAACCCTTCATTTGTCCATTTGGCTTTTGAAACTAGCTAAATGGGGGGGCCATCACTATATTTTAATAGTAGCAGGTTCTATAGTTTAAATATGCTTTAAGATTTTTTTAAATGTTATATTTAGGTTCCCTAATTATGCTAGTTTTCAACGTTTATCTAACACAGATTTTATATTAAAAATATATATTTCATTTTATTAAGTGTATTTCTTGAAATGGCTTGTATTGCAATCTTACAATTTTTAAAAAAATCTCTGTTTGATTTATTCCCCAAAAGGTAAGAATATGGTTGCTGTCATAATATTATTAGTAACATTGTGCCTTGAATGTATTCTGGTTGATTTCTTTGGTGATCCATTTGTTCATTTTCTTGACTATCCGCAATATTCTCAAGAGTCTTTTTCAATATCATAGTTCAAAAGCATTAGTCCTTTTCTGCTTTTCTGCTTCTTCAAAGTAAAATTTTCAATTACATAGACTGCCACAGAGAAAATTACAGTTTGCATTAATTTATATTTACATTTAATCTTAGTCCTTTCTTTTTTAGCATGACAGGTTATTTATGTTTCCTCCAGGAGGTGGTCTGGAATTCTCAATTTTCTAATTTTTTTCTACAGCATGACATGACGAATACAATTAAAGGACTTTTTAAAAATCAATTAAGTGCACACGGATTTATTTTGGTATTCTTTGGCTTTCTCAAATGTCCTGCGTGCATCAAAAATAATTTCTCATGTTCCTCAGCCTTTTCTAAATCCAGCTTGAACATCTGGCCTATTCCTTTTCCTGGAATATACCAGGACTCTAATCTGCATTGGATGATCCTAAGCATTATTTTGTTAGCATGTGAAACTAAGGATAGTATACTGTGGTTTGCAGGCTCTGCTAAATCCTTTTCTTTGCTATTGGTATATAGATTGATATCTTCCAGTTTGTTAGATACTGGGTTTTTCCAGATTTGCGATCACAGGTTAGAACCATTATTTAGTTTTCTTCTGTTGTTTCATGTATTTTTGTAGATATTCTATCAATGTAACCTTCTGACTGGTTCTGGCTAGAGTGCTGATCTAACTTCATCTTCTAGTACTAGATGTTCTTGTAAGTAGGAGTATTTTCTATGGCATCTGCGATGTTGAAATTTCTATTGTGCATAGTTGCAGTGTATTCTTTCCATCTTTTTTGATCTTCTTTGGAACAATTACTATCTGTTCCTCTGGTGAATTGAGCTGTAGCTCATAAAAGCTTGTAACTTGTACTAAAAATTTTAGTTAGAAAAGGTCCTACGAAGTCTCCTGATTCTTTGCCATCATCGGCTAAACATTGTTCTTCTTGTTAAAGAACTGTCTATTGGCATCCTTTAGTGTACCGTTTTGAAGTTGGAACTTATTTCTCATTTTGGGGATTTTTTGGAAGACTTACGCATTTTTGCATGTCCGTTTCCATTTTCATTTACAGTTTTGTCTCTTCTAATAGCTATTTGAAATTCTTCATTGTTTGTTCCGATGATTATTTGGGGGGACGGGGGACAGTGATGCTTTATCTCTTTTCTTTCTGCAATTTTCACTCTTTGGTCTGACATACAATTTGCTTATTCTGTTTCTTGATCTTTGGCAATCTGTTTACACATTCATTCTTAACAAATTCTTTAAGTTTATTCCTTAGTGCCTCTGAACCCTTATCAATGAGGTTCAAAGCTTCAAAGTGATTCCTAGTATTCTCCTTAAAAATGGTGGGTATGGGCTCAAAGTCATATTATGGAAACTGCTTGGCTTTTTTCTTCCACTTTACCTTAATTGGGTAATTGCGTATGAGCAATATCTAATCTGCTCTACAGTTGGTCCTGCCCATGTCTTTGTTGTTAATAATTGAGCTCTTCTACCTCCTTCTGCCAATAATATAGTCAATCTGATTTCTATGTACTTCATCTGGGAAATAATGTGTACGTAAAGTGTTGCTTTAAAGTTTGTAAACTCTTTTGAGCCCTTAATATTTCTGCATAAAAGTGGCCTGAAACATGATCTGTTTGTGCAAGTCTTAAAATTAGATAAAGAGAATCCAGTTAAATAAATGAACTATAAATATTATACTTGCTCATTTATTCTTTGAGGAAAATGATCCAAAGCTACTATTTGTGTGTGGCAAAAGTTAGGTGATAATTTTTAGAATTATCAGTTAATTTGAAGGGGAAATTAGAGTCATATATATATCAGTCATTGTAATGATTATCAGATATGAATGTGGAAAGTCCTGCATTCTTTAAAGAATACAATTCTGGATATTCACTATTAAAGTCTCATCTTCACAAGTATGTGAAAAGTATATCATAGCTCGAACAAAAAAGATTTCTGTGGACTTCTGAAAACCAGTTGTTGATGTTCAGCTGGCTAGAAAATATTATAAAACTACTTCCAAAGATTTGGACTCCACCAATCCACTATCACAAATAGTAGCAATTCAACACCTTTGTTACCTTCCCCAGGAGTGGTCAACTTGTCAAGATCACACCAAGAGAAAGGCATGTAATACTCTGGGAGGTCTCAAAAACCCCTAGGGCAATATCTTAAGAAGCTAAAGACCTGCCTTGCATTGGCAAATGATAGTGTTCAAAAGACCACCATTAAAGGAACATTGAACAGTAATGGTGTGCATGACAATATTGCAAGGAGAAAATCACTACTCTCCAAAAATAACGTTGCTGCCTGTTTACAGTTTGTGAAATACCGTAAGGCTATTGGAAAAATGTTCAATGGATGGATGAGACCAAAATAGAACTCTTGCTTGAGTGAAAAGGCAAATACTAGATTTTAGTATAAGAACCTTATCCCCTCTGTGAAATTTGGCTTGGACTTGCTTGTTTCCTGTGGACTAGGATGCCATCATTGATGGACCTATGAACTGGACGCCCATGAACTGAAGCTCAAGAGAAAGTAGGTCATGCAGCAATACAATGACCTAAAATACAAAGTAGTAGGGCCAAGGATGATTAATTAAAATTAAGTTAATGTTTTGGAACGGCCAAGGCAAGGCCCTGATCTTGATCCTATAGAAAAGTTGTGGAAGGAGGATAGTTCCTGTGTGGAAGCTTTCCAGCATCCCTGAGTTGAAGCTGTTCTATAAGGACAAATGGGCTAAAATTCCTCCAAGCCAATGTGCAGGACTGATCAAGAGTTATTAGATAACATTTAGTTGCAGTTATTGCTGCCCAAGGAGGACACTCCATTTACAAAAAGCAAAGGTTCACATACTTTTGCCACACACAAATGTAGTACAGATCCATTGACAGTCACTGATATATGTCACAAGTTTCTTATTTCTGTCATAGGGCTTTTGGATACCATGTTCTGTTTAATATTAAAAAAAGTTTAAAGGTGAACAATGCATACTTCAACTTTAGATAGTGGCACATATGATTATTTTGAGGTTTGTGGTATGAGTCTAATCTTATCTAACTGTCTATATTCACTTATTTAGACTTATATAAAAACTTTCAACATAGAAGAAAACACAGTTTAAAAATCTGGAATATTAGAATGTTATTGGACCAATATATTTCTAGCGAGCACAGGGTTTTCTGGAAAAAAAAGTTTGCACTAGTTCAGTGATGGTGAACTGACATGTATGCTAAAGGTGATACAACATGACATTTTAGGTGACACGCCAGCTTTCAACACCTGACAACAATTAATCTGTAAAGTATGCCCCATACTTGTGTGAGTTTTGGTGGCAGCAGAGAATGGCATGTGTTCTCGCACAGCCTCTGGAATTTGCACTAGAACAGGGTGTGCTTTCACACAGTTTTTGGAGGCTGCAGAAGCTGTGGAAGAGCTTTCTCTGAAGCTGCTTCAAGAGGAAAGGCCTTGTGCAACTCAGAGCAGCCCTGGGTAGGCCACAGGAGTCTGCAAACAGAAAGAGAACATTGCTTGAAGGTAAGTGGCAGATCCTCAGTTGCGTCTGGAGGAATGGTATGAAGCAGCCTTTTTGAGTGGCAGCAGTGACTTTAGGACTGACATCAAAGTCTGGGCCTTTATTTAAGGTCCAGCTCAGCTCTAACACATCGAGAATACTGTTCAGGGTGGCCTAGATGGAGGGTGGAATATAGAGAATTGTTTCTCATTTGTTTGCGGAGGGAGTGTTTATATGTTAGCATAGACAAGATGAGCATTTATTTTGAATTTTTGACATGCCAAGCCCAAAAGGTTTACCATCATTGCACTAGTACAACAGAAACATACATTATTTTTTATAACAGTCTGAAAGAAGTTATTTAAAAATAAGTCTAGGAACATTGTATGCAGCTCAGCATTTCTTTGAAGTTTTATTTGCAGTAACTGCCACTCCCAGGGAGGCACGTAGCTTTATAAATTGAACTATACCTTATCTCTTTGAAATTGGGTGTTGTTCAAAGAAAAGGTTCCAGGGGCACCTGCCTATGCAATTTTGTCTATACTACTGTGGTAGACAATGCACATAAATAAATAAATAAACATTTCCCCCAAAATATTTAATACTGTTCAATGTTCCTTATAGAAATACAGATAGTTCTTGATTTACGACCATAATTCAGCCCAAAATTTCATTTGCTAAGCAAGATAGGTGTTAAGTGGATTTTGTCCCATTTTACAACCTTCCTTGCCACAGTTGTTAAGTGAATCACTTCAGTTCTTAAGATGGTAACAAGGTCGTTAAGTGAATCTGCTTGTTTTTGCTTGTCAGAAGGTGGGAAAAGGTGATCATGTGACCTCACATGAGACACTATGAGTGTCATAAATGTGAATCAAGCATCTGAACTTTGATCACATGGCCATGGGGATGTTGCAAGTGTAAAAAACGGTCATAAGTCACCTTTTCAGTGCTGTTGTAACTTCAGTCACTAAACGAATTGTTTTAAGTCAAGAACTACCTGTACTATCATCCGATATTTAATATTATATTGGTACTAGTATATCAAATAATTCAATCGAATTATATCTGTGATTCAATGAAAAATATTTTGAGGGTTATTCATATGGAATTCATAGGACTTGTTTTCAAGCAAACTTGCACCAGATGGTTGGTCTTTCTGGCACTAATATTCAAGAGATGATTCATATATATTTGTCTTTATAGGATTACATTCAAGTTGATTCATTTGTGGAAAGATCTAAAGAGATAAACTGTTTTTATTTCCATATCTTCTGTTGGTTCTGCAAGTTGTTGAAACAGGGTTGCTGTTATATAAATAGCTTATTTTAACTTTCAGCTGAACTGGGAGACTACAACCTTACGGATAACTTCCCAGGCTACCTCTCAGATTACTCTTTCATCCCTGGCCAGCCTCAAGACTTTGAAAAAGAAATATCCAAACTACATCAGCAACATATGTAAGCATGACAAAAATATAAAGTTATAATTAAAAAAAATGACACAACTGATTCTATGCCCTCAAAATTATTAGGTGTGTGCAGATCAACAGTAGCTGTCTGAATTATAAGCTAGCTTTTTCCATGGTGTGCTATTCACTTCTTATGAAGAACTAAAGCATTTAAAGCAAACATATAATTGCAGACCCATAAAAAAGAGATCTTGTGAAAGAGCACACCCTTGTCCTTTGTTAATACTATAGCTATGTTGAGTTCCTGCTAATAGTGTCTATTAAATAAGGTATGCAAAAATATACTTTTGCAATCAACAGTGTCTGTATAATACTGAAAGTGCATTCTTCTGGCATCTACAGAGCTTCCAGTATGAAACTACTTAATCAAAAAATAATTTATTAAATAAAAAGTATATGTAAGTAATATTAACCTTGTTTTCCCTTTGTGCAATTCCATATTTCATGCAGAAATTTTTGTTTTTAGGCAAGGGCTTGGATTTTACAAGCATTGTAAAAGAATTTAAAGCTTGCTTATTTTTGCCTCCATATAGAGGTTTGTCTCCAGCTGAAGCAGAGTTCAGTTATCTCAGTACTGCCCGAACCTTAGAACTCTATGGAGTTGAACGGCACTATGCAAGGGTAGGTTTGAATTAATTGCTACTGTTTTAATGGATATCATCTGTAAACTTGTTTTGTACGAATTATCAATTTTAAATACCTTTCAGTATTCAGGGTAAATGAGCATGAATTAAAGCGTATAAAGTCATATATTCAAAATTTAATCCACCTATGTTTTGTTTTACATAACCCGTGCACTTAAAAGCTTTTAATAAAAATTCTTAACCACAAACCTGGCTCGTAAAGTAGTTAGTATTTTAAAAGGCTGCAATTTTGTCCACCTTTACATATGAGTAAATATGTAATATGCTTCTAAATTGCAATCAAAGATGTTGTTTTCACGTGGTGTGCTTAAAAATTGTATTGATTACAATTTTTAATTTTCAGTAAGGCACCTTATAACAATTTAAATTCATAACTCATTAAAATTAAAAAAGGGAAGTTTGTAGTAGCAAGTAAGTAGCTAGAAGTAGCTATTGAGTGCTGAGTTTTGAGTTGTTTTCTCTGTTCCTCTTCTCTGCACTTGATGAGAAGATGGAAGAATCATATTAATTTTCTTAATAGTAGTGCTCAGCTAAGCATACAATCCATTGCTAACACATACATTTTAGCCCAATAAAAGAGACGAAATCAGGCATATGCTGAGCCTTTGTTTGAATAGATGCTTATGCAAAGTAACCCCCCACTTCACAATCTCAACTATAGCAGTTAACAATTTTTCACCAAGACACTATTTGTTCTCCTCCCCTTTCCCATTGCCACCTCTCCCCCCAATTCCATTTAAGTGTATAAATACAATGTCATGTAATATAAGAAGTGAGTATCAGCTTCTGAAGTCTTATCACAAACAATAAATGGCTGCCTTTAAGATCATGGTATCATAAACTTTGCCCTCTTTCATAGAGGCAGTTCTTACCTATAGTAATAAAGAGCTTAGAAAATCAGGAAATGCATGTGATCTTATAGTTCAGAGTTCGTGATAGAATCAAGTATGTTTGTTCAGTGTTTCACGTGATTTTTAATCAGAAATGGATGATTGCACCATGTAATAAACTTACTTATAAGAATTAATTTAATATATTTGCTGGTTAATCAATTAAATACTGATTTTTTTCTTAAGCCCAGAAAAAGAACAAGTTTTGGAAGAAAGCTAGCAACCATTCCCTATTATACATAGCATAATGTTGTGATGATATCTGTATCAGGATATTTTAAAATGGCCATGCTTAATCAGAATATTCAGTTATAATATTACCAGTAGTTCTCGACTTATGGCCACAATTGGGAACAGAATCTTGGTCACTGAGTGAAATGGTTGTTAAACAAGATATCACCTGACTTCCTTGCTCAATGATGCAATCCCAGCATTCCCAATTGCAGTCATTGAACAAACTCATGGTCATTAAATGGAGAGAGTCCCAAATCCAGAGTGTTTTTGAGGGTGGAGGCCCTGCAAGGCCTGTGAGTTGTGAGGGTGCTGCAGTAGAGTGCAAAGCCACAGCCACCCCGAGCCACTCTCAGCGACCCCAGCCCAGCAGCATGTCATTGGCAACGCTAGGGCCTCTTACACAGGTATTTTCATAACATAGCAGGTTACTATATTATTTCAAAGTTTGTGATGATTCTAATTTTCTTCCGTGAGCTAGTTCCTTAAGATCAATTGTGTTTAAATATATATAGAATAGTTCTTTATTGGGGAAAAATACAGGAGAACCTTAGGACATTGACTGATAGTGAGAGTATGGGGAAAGCAGAAAAGCCAGAATGTGATATTAAGTGGAAAAAATGTTTTCCTTAATGACATTAGAAACTTATCAAGGAAGACTTATTGCTTCTTTACAAATGAATAAAAGTTGTAATATCTCACACAAGAAATTAATAAGTATTCATAATTTTCCTGTTCTTTTTATAGGATCAAAGTAATAATGAAATTATGATTGGAGTAATGTCAGGAGGCATATTCATTTATAAGAACAGGGTACGAATTAACACCTTTACATGGTAAGGATATGTTTTAAAAGCATTATTATTTCCTATGTACAGCTATTCCTCACTGAATGACACTAAATAGGACTGGAAACTCGATCATTAAGGGACATGGTCATAAGTAAGTTAAGCAAAGACTTCATGTGACCTCAACTTGCAACATCCTGACAGTTTCCCTCTTGACTTCATTTGTCAGAAGCCAGCAGGAAAAGTTACAGGTTGCAATAACATGACTGCAGGGGTATTGCAGTGGTTGTAACTGTGAGGACTGATCATAACTAAGACTGATTAGTGTAGTTGGCATTTAAACAGTCACTGGATAATTAGTTGTTAAACAAGGACCATATATTGGTTATGTTGCTGTGGTCCTTTCTCAGGTCAGGCCTGGGACCTTTGAGAGATAGCTTTCATTTTTAAGTATACATAAGATCTTCTCATTAACATTTTTATTGAGTTATAAGATAAAATAAGATACAAAATATGAAAGAGAATAGGAAAATAATTGAGAGAAGGGAGGAAGATTAGAAAAAAAAATGAGGACGGATTAGAAAAAAGAAAGAAAGAAGCATTGACTTCCAACTCTCTCTGTTGCTGTAAAATAGGGTGTTAACATTAAATCACAACTTTTTGTTTTTTCATGATAATATAAACCAGCCATTTCTATAAGGATCTGTCAGTCTAATCGGTAAAACCCAAAATCAAAGTTTCATTCTTTTCCACTTCAAGCACAAAGTTCAGAAGGGTCTCCATGTGGAAACAATAGTATTTATATTCTTTTCTTTAATCAAAATAGTCATTTTTGCCATTTCAGCCAACCATCAGCTTCTGCAACCATTTGTCCATGGTAGGAATCGAAGTGTCCTTTCATTTCATACAATAGTCTTGCTGCTATCAACATATATAGTAATAAAGTTCCATTTTTTTTCTCCAGGTCTTTTTCCATTTAGGCCCAAAAGGAAAATTTCTGGTTTCTTTATCTTCATTTTCAAAATTTTCTGTATTAAAATATGAATCATACTCCTTTTTTACTTTATTACATGTCCACCATAGATTATAAAAAAGTCCCTTTTTACTTTTACACTTCCAACATTAACTTGACATACCTTTATACATCTTATATAGCTTATCTGGTGTTAAATACCAGCAATACATCATCATATAAAATGTTCTTTTAGATTATAATTTAATGTAAATTTTAAACCCTTTGTCCACATATTTTCAAGTATACATAAGATCTAAGTTGGTCATCTTTTTGTATACTAAGAATTGTAAAAAAAAATGCCTCAGAATGGTAATATATAGTATATTTTTATACTATATGCTGCAGAGTTTATAAGTTAAATTTTGAGGGGATAAAACATGTTGGACACATTTTTAATCAACTCTTTAATCATTCAATGCCTTCCTGTCCAATTGCAGTTTCAAAATGTTCTTTAAGAATAAACTCATGCAAAGCACATTGCAATAACTAAGGTATGAGTGGTTGTGAGCAGTGTCCTTTGATCTAGAAAAGGACCAGTAATGATATATGAGGAAAAACCTTGAGAGACAAGAGGAAGAAAAGCTGCCCAGAAACAGATAGAGGGTATAGTCAGTAGTTGCATAATGGGCTTAGAAAGAGGCTCAGAAGTCACTCTCCCTAGCTTCTCATGCTGTAAAGGAAAGAACAGATTTTTACTTTCAGACTTGCAAGATTCTATTAATGTAATCTTACAATAAGGTAGAACTGGTTCATCTGGCTATATTTTCTGTCCAGTTTTCCTGGGAAGGCTGATAGGGTGCAGATGGCCACACAAGATCTGTTTTTTCTCTTTCAGCAGGAGCCAAGATTTCTGGAGAACTCCCAGACTGCACACTATCTCTGACTGGGGGAATGTTACCTCAGTGCCTCAATCAAAGTTAAAGATGCCTGATCATCATATATGAGGGATCCTAAAACCCACAGCCAGTTAGAATCATTAGGGTTGAGCTGAAACTAATTCTTTCCCATCCAAGCCAGTACAGCCTCCAGGCATTGGGAAGGCATCTTGATAGCATCACTTGGGTGGCCCAAGGCAGAGATATAATGATACTTAACTCTGTGCTGACAAATGACCTCACCCAGCAGTTTCATATAAATGTTAAATAGAAACAGGGAGAGAGTTGAGCCCTGCTGCACTTAACAGACCAAGGGCCTAAAACTGGACTTCTCCCTTCACCATCCCCCCTCCAACACCAATTAGAATTGACCTTGGAGGAAGGAAACCCACTGATGAACAGTGCCTCCCATTCCCAACTCTGTCAGCTGGTTTAGAAAGATACCATGATTGATGGTATTAAGAGTTCAAGCAGGGCTAGGATAACTATACCATCCTCATATCTGCTCCATTTGTTCACTTCATTATCTACTCCAGTTATTGAGCCAATAAAGACCTATAGTACCGTATTCGAGATTATGTAACTTTAAAAAAATATTTCCTTGCTCATGATTAAGTTGAGTTTAAATGATTTTTGTTCCCCTGTTTTTCATGCAACAGTATGGTATTTTCCAATGATACTAATGAGCTACAGTAGAGCAAATATACCATCTTCCCTCCAGCATTTTCCATTCTTTGATGACCAATAACATTCTTAGTACAATGCAAGAAAATTCACTTTCTTTCAATAACCACAGGAGGGGCAGATAAAGTTGTGGGAGGCAGAGCAGGCCTGCCAATCTTGGCTATTAAACCAAATTACAGAGAATAATGTCTAAACTCTCCTTCTTACAAAATTTATGTAATCAATATGACAGTGAATGAATGAGTGAAGGTACTAACAGCACAAATCTAAATTCAATATACATATCTGAACTATTTTCTGCATTCATAGCTTTTGTATGTAGAAATAATTTATACTTGATAAACATAATCAAGAGATGGTCAGCCCATATAAATTGAATAAATAAATAAATACAAGAAAAGGCAGTTTTGCTGGTAGTTAATAGTCTTCTTTGAGGTATAGTGCTACAGTAATAAAATTTAGGTTGGAAAAGATTTAGGTAAATGAAATGATGTATATTTGTTTTGTGAATGTTGAATTCAATTATCATCCTTGTCCAATTAATACATCTGAAGAAATTATTAGCTTATTGTAATTTTTATTTCATTTAGGTTGAAAATCATAAAAATTTCTTTTAAGTGCAAGCAGTTTTTCATTCAACTTAGAAAAGAATTGGTGAGTATTGATACTTCTAATTAATATATTTTCTACTAGATTACATTTTATTTTGAAAATATTCTTTGCAGAGCTTCATACCTGATTAAAATATGAAAGTATATTAATTTTGTAATTGTCAATGGTAGGCAAGATTATTTTTAATATAGTAAATCTGGCTGAAATTATTCTTTGTGCAGAGTCAGGGGAAGTTTGAAAAAGGCCAAACATGTCTAATTTATAGCAGCCTGATGATAAGAAGCTCTCTGAAATTGTTGATAACCTCCTTTTGTGGGGAGGAAGATTTAAAAAATGCTACAATCTGCTATCATCAATCTGTGACTATAGTCACAAAGCTTTCCTCTGGACAGATTGGCCTTTCATCTTCCAGCACCTTTGGTCCCTGTCTATTTAATGTTGTCACTTTTAATCTAACAATGTTTCTGTTATTGCTAGCTGGTTCCTAGCTCTTAGGAAAGCAGAAGCTCTGGCTTAGGCTGATAGGAAGCTGATAATTGCTTCTGAGCATTAACTGCTGGCAGCTAATATATCACCCATGGCAGAGAAATTATACAGATTGACAGGGATGGAAAAAATGTGGATTTTATTTACCTTTTTTGGTGCTCATGAACCCAAAACCCTCATGTTCGTTCACTCTAACAAATCCTGTACCAAACTTTACCAATTAAAAGGTATGTGTATTGGGGGACGGGGTTGTGAAGCAATATTATTTACGTAATTTGTGTGATATGTCCATCTTACATACATTGTAGTACTTAAATAAGAGTCCTTTGGAACTGACTAACAAATATTAATCCTTTCTTTCTAGCATGAATCTAGAGAAACTTTATTGGGATTCAACATGGTGAATTACCGAGCATGTAAGAATTTATGGAAAGCTTGTGTAGAACATCATACTTTTTTCCGGTTGGACAGACCACTGCCACCTCAGAAGAACTTTTTTGCACATTATTTTACTTTAGGGTCAAAGTTTCGGTACTGGTAAGTTGCATCTGTATTTCATGTGATGATATAAGAAAAATGAAATAAATGTTATAGTTGAAAACTTACCATAAAATATATAAATATAATAAAATAAAAAATATGCTGTTGAAATAGCATATGTTCTTAATTCGGTAGCCCAAAGAAGTGCAATATCTTTTAGTTGCCAAATATCACAACATTTTTGGGAGCATATATTATACGCATAGATGAGGTTGGGTGCAAGAGGAAGATTTAGAAGTTTTCTTTATTTTTATTTTTGCTTTTTAAACCGATTTGTATACTTTAGCTTACCCTGCAGTATTCATATTTCTATAATATAAAAGGAAACTGCTCTTTCAGCAGGTTTTACCATACACATGACTACTGGGTTACAAAAAGGAGACCAGGAGCATTCAGTCCTGGATGCACAGATTAGTCACCCACACTGCATCCAAGCATATTTCTGTCTAATGAATTTTTTTTTAAAGCTGAGGTTGCTACATAGATATTACACTCCTGACAAAGGACTAGTTTAGTCTGAACTATGTTAGCCTACAAACATTGGTGACTCCCCCCCCCCCCCCCCCAGTTTGGCTGCAGTTTAAAATGAGGTGGAAAATTTATTGATTACTTTGTGTGGTCACACCAAGGAGGGAAATAGGTAGTACCAAGACTTGCTATAATTATCATTATAGCATATAATTAAGGCAGTGTTCAGGTCTCAGAATCTCCCAGTTAGAAATACCTGAGCGGAAGTCATATTTGTAACGACGATGTTCTCCAACACTTTTAAAAACTTAGATAAATTCAGGACAGATGGGTATCCCTAAATGCAATACAGTTAAAGTAATACAGATATGAAATATACATTAAAAATATTTGTAGGATTACAGGAAGATGGTCTCTTTGTTTATTGCTGGCAATACAATTATAAATTTTACTCTTCATTTTGGAATTCTTTTATTTTCTTATTTTAGACAAGTAAAGTACTTCTTACATTTTTCTTTACAATCTCAATATTACACTTTCCTTTCAGTGGGAGAACAGAGGTCCAGTCTGTACAATATGGCAAAGAAAGGGCAAACAAGGACAGGGTGTTTGCCAGGTAAGCAATTTACAGTGATTTGCATGCAGTATGATAAACATATTCATATAGCCTCTTATTTAGATTTCTCCATACTCTTAAAATTGTTTGGGTATAATAACCCTGGATAGAAGTTCTCTTGACACATAAAAATTTAGACCCATGAAAGAAGGAGCAGGACTGGGTTTGTTGCCATACTTCCCATTGACACATGCCAACTGATGCCAGCCAAGACTCCATTGGCTTTCAGCATTGTTGAGTAAGATCCAGTGGAATTCCTGATCTGAAAAAAATCAGAATTCCATTTATTCTTTACACATAGTGAACTTATTTTCTCTGTTTGCTCAGTTAACTCCCTCTAGAATATCTCCATCTCCTGGTACTATTCTCGTTGGGCCATAAACTTGTCCAGAAATATAGTTCAAAAGTGATATTGTGGAGCATTTTTTCATTGTTTATCTAGATCCGATTGGTTTAGTGTTCAGGTAACACTCTGGAAACCAGGCGACAGTGAGTTCTAGTCCCACCTTAGGCATAAAAAGCAGGTTGGGTGACCTTAAGCCAGTCACTCTCTTTCAGCTCAACCAACCTCACAGGGTTGTTGCTGTGGGGAAAATAGGAGTGGGAAGGTATACTGAGTCTGTTCGTTGTCTTGAGTTATTTATAAAAATAAATAAAGGCTGTATTTTTAAAAAATCTTTAAAAATAACTCATTGCCAAAAATTAGCAATATAATTTCTGAATAATTTCTACCAATAGAAACAATAACTGAAATCTGAATTTAAAAGGTCAACTATCCCATCTCTTCAATCACAAGAAAAATGGAATGGACTGATATGGAGTTGCTTATTATGGGCCTCAGTTTCTCAAACTTGCAGTCTCTGGACACTAACAGTTGTACACTATTAACTATTTTGTAAAATATCCCTCCATGGTTACCAGTAGCAAAAACAGAAAAGCAATTTCAGGTGAAAGGCAATAAAAAATAAAATTCTAGTCAAGTTAATGAAGATTACCATAGAAGAAAGTGAGCAAAAGGGGGAAAGCAACAGAGAGATAGAAGGAGAAAATCAGATCGAAGGAACTGAGTGAAAAGCTTTGACTCTCTCAACATGAAGGAAGAATCAAATGGCAAATGGATTCCCAGGGTCAGAGAGGAGTGTTCCTAGACCATGCAGAGCAGATGAAGAGAGAAAGAACCAGAACCAGCCCAAGGCTTCTAAAAGGTAGTTGGTAATCATCATCCCTAGAAAGAGCCATAATTGGGACCAGAACTTCTGTTGCTAAATAAGGTGGTCATTAAGTGAGACACATTCAATTTTACAACTTTTTGCCGCTGTTGTTAAGTAAAGCACTGTAGTCATTGCATGAACTCTGTGGTCATTAAGCAATTGACTTTGACCCTATTGACTTTGTTGGAAACTATCTAGAAATATTGCAAATGACAATCCTGTGATCTCAAGATATTGCAACCATACAAGCTAGTTGCAAAGCTCCCAAAGTTTTATCATGTGACCGCAACAGTCATGAGTACAAGGACTGGCTAGAAGTCACTTTTTTCAATATTGTCGTAATTTCAAACAGTCACTAAATGAATGGTTGTAAGTCAAGGATTACCCTATATACTTACCCTAGAAATTCAGAAAAGGCTATTGTGCTAGAATACAAAGAAAGAAATGGATTTTTAAATGGATTTTCCAAAGGAAAAGATGTGTTGCAGATGCCAAAGACAAACTTTATGAAAAGAAGATCTAAAAGCCAGAAGAGTAGATTACTGTATATATTTTATGGAAGATCCCAAAAATTATTAAGGGTTCAGTAATGTTGTCTTGATTACACTAAAGAAGAGTGGAGCCTTTCTTTGCGTCCAAACCTTAACCTTTACAAAGTGAGCATTATCATCGTTGTCTTGTCAGTCATGTTGCCGTTGTCTTTGATTAGTTATTAAATGGACATTAAGGACATTGGTATTAGAAGAGGAAACTATATAAAGCTGTGGTAGTAGAGACATACTGTTGTAATGTGGCAAATGTTTCTTTGAAATTTCCACAAAGAACAGGAAGTTTTGGTAACAGACATGAGTGGGTGGGACTGTGAGTTTCAAACATTTAATAATGCTCTAAATGTAGTTTGACAGTTCAGTGTTTTTGCCTGGCTTATCAAGTTACAGAAGCAATTTTCTGTTTGATCATTAAGGTGAGTTTTTTGAAGAGTTGCATCATTCCAAGAAAGAAAATACATGATCATTTAATTTGTAAAAAGTTAGTAACATTTTTATCCAGGCTGCCTTATATTTTTCTTTTTCTTTATATTTTGGATGAACAGATCAAGTTTTGTAGAAAACAGTGCTTATCCCTGTTGTCCTTAAAAGCAGTTTAGAATGGTTTAACTCATAGCAGTAGGGTAGTTTTATTGTTTTTTTAAACTTTTGAAACAACATTTTTTTAGAAAACAATAACATTTGAGCTAGTAAAATATGGATACTAAGAATGAACATTCGCGTAAATAAATATACTTGATGTTATAATGATTGTTAGATAAATCTGTGTATCACACATTTAAATCAATTTCTATGAGTTGTTGAAAAATGTGTAATCACTTGTATCTTTCACAGCTACATTATGGCTAGATTTTTAAAAATTGTCATATTCAGCTATAGTTCAACTAAGTCAGTAAAAATTCTTAAATTTTATTCAGAGTTGGAATTTTTTAATGCACAAATGTGTCACATGTCTTTGTTTTTTATGTTGCATGTGTTCACTGCATTTGAAACCCACAAATTTCAGCACTGCTTGTAACTTTGAAATAGAATTCTTCTAAAAGTCTGGATTTTTGTGTCCATGCTATTAATAATAAAGTTGGTTCAAGTGGTTTGGTTTGAATGTAGCTGTAAATTATGCAAGTAATTGCAATGAAAGACTCATTTAGAGTTAAGAAAGAAAAGAAAGAAGCTGTTTTTTTCACAAACAGCTTTCCTCCCCTCCACCCACCCCCACTCCACCCACCCCATATGTGGCACTCTAGATGGTTCTCAGCCCTTAGCAATAAATTTGTTCTGTCTTTAGTTATCCTTCTCATTGCATTTGGCTTTTTTCTCCTCTTGTGAATAGTCCCATGAGAATCTGTCTATCTTTGGAAGAAATGGTTAAATAACATGCATTGCATATCAGTACTTATAAAGAGGAAGGCTAGTTTTATTGTTTTATTTCAATTTCCAATAGTTTCAGATACATCATTCTACATAATTTTGTATAAATTTGTTTTAGATCCCCAAGTAAACCTTTGGCTCGCAAATTGATAAGTGGGATGGACTGGGAGGTTGTCAGCAGAAATTCATTGTCTGATGACAGGTTAGAAACTCAAAGTTTACCATCCCGCTCTCCACCTGGAACCCCTAATCAGTAAGTAAAATTGAATAATCCCTTTGCAACAGGTTACCTGTTTCTCATTTGATTAATAAAAGTAAATCGTTGTAACATTCTTCCCTGGTGTGCTAAAATAATGTCACAGTGAAGCACACACGTAACTGAGGCAGGATTTAGCTAATAGCTCAATATATTACATTTTTTAAAAAGTGCTTGCATTTCCCACTTTCATTCTGTGAAAAAAAAACTTCCCACTGATAATAATTTTATTCAGTACCCTTTACTGTGAGATGTAAACAGTATGTTAAATTTAATAGAATAATATTCAGAATTATAATTAAACCAGATATACCTGATCTTTGTCCCTTTGAGATTTTACAGTATATCATGGTTGGAAAAAAAAAATCTTGATTTATTTATAAATAATTTAAGAATATTTTTCACATCTAGTTGACAGATTTTATTTGGGCATGAAGTAAATATAAAGCATCATTAAGGATGAGGATAACATTGCCTTTAATATTATGTGTAATAGACCTAATTTTAACTATATCTAAACCATTTTTGAACAAATTTTCTATAGTTGTATAATATCTCTTGTATCTAGATTTCACTGTATTTAAGAGAGTGCTTCTAGACATAACATTTGATTGTATTTTGCATCATTCAAGTCATATTACTTATTTTGATGAAATCAGTTTAAAACGACTGTTTTTTGTCTTGAATAACCCATAGTTTGTCCTTTTCATTTCTTGATTACATTGTGGCTTTCCTTAAAAATTATAGCATAATTTAGCACAATGTGGCTAATCTGGGCTTACTTTAGGTTACATAGGTTTATCCCATCTAACCTGCTGTGAGGAGCAGAAAATTGGAAACAGGAAAGTGAGATGTGTTGAAATAAACAATAGATTAAGCTAACTAGGATTTAAATATGATGACAAACTATGTTTGATTTAAATCAGGAAGTAGATGCTTTCACATTTTTTCAGTTATATAAGCCTATAGTTTATCCAGGGCATTTATATAACTGAACTATAGTTTAACATATCTATCCAGGTTTCTCTTTCTGTTCAAATGGAACTTCCAATAATTTAGTTACATAAATAGTCTTACAGAATCAGACAGTGCAGAAGACTGTATTTCTGAACTCAGAACTCTGCACAAATACTATTATCTGTCTATAAAGGTAATGAATTTTACTTCCTGTACAAGCTAAACCACAATCAGGGAGGTCCTCTTTGTGTGGCTATTTTTCAGTTTCCTCTTTTTCTAACAAACTACATGAAAAGGAAGGAGACCAGGTTTTTTTTTATTTAATTTAAATAAAGATCTTGCAAAAATCCTTCAGAAGGAAAATAATATTTGTACAGGAGTAAAGGCTGTAATATTAGGACACTGTTTAGGATTCATGTTGGTTCCTTATCTATTGATGTATGCCACACATATATCATTTACATAGATGTCAGTCAGTGTTACAGATAGCCTTCAGTACTGTGGTGACAAATGTCTTACTGATTTCTAATATATTTCTTACAAATTTTGATTTACTACTACTAATTGACTGCTTTTCACACCAATGGGAGAGCATGCATTTAGGAGTGCAAGCAGTAGTATTTATAGAAACTGATTTGATTATTCTTTTAAAAATGTGGTAAAACTATTTAAAAGCACAGAACTTACAAATCTTTACTAATAGGTTAATGAATAACTATTCTTTCCATGCTCAGTCGCAACTCCACATTTACTCAAGAGGGAAACCGTTTTCGGCCATCTTCAGTTGGACATTTAGTAGACCATGTAGTCCATACTTCACCCAGTGAGGTATTTGCAAATCATCGGTCGCCTTCTTCTACACAGGCCAATAGTATAATTCTAGAATCATCACCGTAAGTTTGATTTTTGTAATCCTGCAAATACATTTTGTACTGCTATGACATATAGTCTTTCCATATATATTTTTATTTGATTTATTTGATTTGTCAATCACTTACAAGATAATAGGTATAAGTATAAACATAGTTATGAATATATGAAATTGATACATATAAGAAAAATAAAAGAAACAATAGGACAGGGATAGTAGGCACTTCCATATTTCTTCCATATAGCTGTAAGGTTGGCAGATCTCATTTTTATATTTAATTATACTTTGTAAGTAAGAACAAAAGTAACATAAGGGATCTAATTTTATATAGAATATAAATATATAGCATACTAATAGCAAATCTCATAAATCTATAAGGTCTCATATAAGCAATCTAGTAACCATCTCTCTCTCTCTCTCTCTCTCTCTCTCACACACACACACATACACACACACACACACACACACACGTTCAGTAGGAGATAATACTTATCTACTATATAGTTCTGTAAATATTTTTAAACAGTGGAAAATCGCACACTCAAATAGCCATATGAATATTAAATATGCATTAAACAATTAGAAATTATTTCTCATTTTTTGCTTGGATAAAATGGATCATGACTCAATATTAGTATGTTAGAATACCACATATTGAATTTCTTTTAAAGTAGTTGCTGGAAAAATTATTAGAATCCATATATATATATATTGTACTAATAATTACTTGTGCTTAAGAGATATAGTAACATTGGAAGGTGCAGTATCAGATTTGTGTGACATAGCACTTAGCTGAATAGGAAGTTTACATTTGTTTATTTGATTATGCACATTGTTGAAAGAAACAATACAGAAAGGTACTTTCACTCAAAATATTCCACTTAAACATCCATTGTTTTAAACATTCAAAGAAAATTAATAGCTAACTGGGCAAAAATAAAATTAGGAAGTTTATTTTTAGTTTATTTTTAATACTCACACTTTATTATGGTAATATATTACAATGTATTACATTTGGAATCATAGTATATTAGTCCAGTTTTGTGTATACGTTGTAAATGTTGTTTACCGTATCAATTTGAAAAAGAATTTAAACACGATAATATCCTGGGTATTGTAAAGGAAATGTATTCTCAGGATTTAATCAGATTACAATGAAAATTGGGAAGAAAAATTGCATGCTGGTTTGTAAATCAGTAGCAATATGTTAAATCATTTGTACTTTGCATTTCTATATGAAAATAGTGAATTCACAAGCGTTCTAATTTAAATGAATCTTAAAACAAGTCAGTGACAACCTTGGTTATTTGTACTTGAATATGCTGTTGTGGGAATTGTATTGAAATTGTCAGTTTTGCAGTGTGAATAAATGAATTGTCATTAAGACTTTAGATAAAAGAATGTCTAGCAACATGTAAACTACAGATGAAATATTGTACAGATTTGTTAAATTGCAAAATAATAGTATATTATCAGGCCAATTGTTTTTACAAGACACTGCATAAAGATTTCTACTGTGCATTTGGATTTCAGTAACATTGGATGTAGGTGTGGTTGGATAAGCTATCATTCCTGGTTTATGGTGTAAACGTTTATGGTTTTCCTTCCCCATTCCTCCTGAGCATATCTGGAAACATTGATCTATCATTTAATCTGAGATTGCCACAAACAGCATACGTGCCCCCACCCCTTTGGAAAATGCCAAAGGGGAAACCCAGATATTTTTTTTAATGAAATGAAATCAGCCATTCTTTGTCATGCAAGCACATGATAAACTGGGTTTTTACTTAAAATATCATTGGAAACCCTGAAGTAGAATATAAAGTATATATTTGGCTTAATAGAAAGTAGCAGAATTAACTTTCTGGAACAAAATTTCTTGTCTAATATATATAGAACAATTCTGTTTAAAAAGAGAACTATTTCTGTTGACCCTATTTTTAATTTTACATTTTTAATTTAGGAGTATTAGTGAAAATACTGTTTTTAAGGGGGGGACTTCCTATAAGTAAGTGTATTATGAAGCTATCCTATATGTAATAATGAACTCCACCTCTATGTATATGTCTGTCGACACTTAGCAAAAGTAATCCTTTGCAAGAGAATTGTATTACTATGTTCTGGGAAGCTCAGAAGTATAGACATATATACGTGCACATAAACTGAAAGAAAAACATACAGGGAAAAATTTATCATTTAAGAAAAAATATACATATTAAGTAAGATTGGAAAACTGACCAGATTTGGATACTGAGGTGAAGGGAAATAAAACAGTATGAAACAATATGTGCACAAAATAATATTTGATTGCAAGTTCCATTTTTTTCCTAATTTGCAATTGAAATCATGAATATAAACAATATGCAAAAATTAGTGTTTTCACTGAAAGACTGGTCTAGATTTCGATAAATTATATGCAGAAATTACAGCTTTTGTATAAGCTATCTACCTGATTTCTTCCCACTGCAATGCCTTATGGCAGGGGTGTCAAACTGGTGGCCCGTGGGCCGGATACATCACAGGCAAGCCACGCCCACCCCAGTTCCATGAAGGAAAAAAATGTTGCGATATGTCACATGATGGCAAAGTGATGCTGCGAGTTTGACATCTGTGCTTTATGGCCTACATAAGTCCTTCTTGGGTCTGTGGCCTTTTTCTAAGAAATTCTTCTCAAAGATATAGCAAGCTGTAGTGGGCAGAAGCAAATAGGAAACCATTTTTCCCCTGACCAGCTTCTAATCATGTTACATTTAGGTACCATCTTCTGTTCTATTAGTTATTTATGTCAATTGCTGAGGTAGTATAATTCTCACACCCATATTCTGAAACTGTCTTAGAAATGCATTCTTTTTAACATGTAAATAAACTTTCACAATGTCTTTTTTATTTTCTCATGTTATTATTTCTCATGTTTTTATTTTCTCATGTAGGTGTCAAGAGTCCCCCATAGATGGCCAACCACCTGCACTGCCACCTAAACAATCTAAAAAGAATAGTTGGAACCAAATTCATTATTCACATTCACAGATAGAATTGGATAACCATATAAATGAAACATATGATGATGATTCTTCCTCGTCTCCCGAAAAATCTACTGTAAGATTTTTTTTTCCACACTTGTTTGATTTGAATATATTAATAACTATAGGGCTTATGTACATTGATTTCAATTATTGTAGTTTATAAATCTGTTAAATGCTACTTGTATGTTAATTTGTATTAGCTACATATTGGAGAGACAGTTTGATGTAGTGGTTAAGGCATCAGGCTAGAAACCAGAAGAGTTTTAGTCCTGCCTTAGGCACAAAGCTAACTGGATGACCTTGGGCCAGCCACTTTCTCTCAGCCCTAGGAAAAAGGCAATGGCAAAAACCTTACCAAAAACTAAAGAGATTTGCCTAGAAGGAAAAAAAGGTTTATGTTTCTGTTTATTTTGCACACAGTTCTTCCGTAGCAATGGGATATCATGGTGAACTGCAATCTGTAGGTACTTATCTAAAACTCCAAATACTGAATCCCTGTTTTTGAGCATTCAGCCATGTCTGTCTATCAGGAAAAGATTCTCCTTCCTCTCTACATATCTAAAGTCTATTTCAGAAAGCTGAAAGACTCTGAGAAGCAGAAGGGCTCAACCTATGTTTTCTGGATTGTTTTCCAGTGTAGCCTAGTATGTTTAAAATCAGATTACATATTCTTTCTGTCTTCCCTGTATAATTTTCTGCTTACATGATCATAACTCCAGGAAAAACAATTGAGCTCCAATTATTAAAAATTAGTTTAGTAATAAGAAATTATACATCTTTTTAAAATTCAGCTGTGACTCTTTAATAGAAGTTGACATTAGAGTAAACAATACTTCGTTTGAGGGGTTCTTGGTGCTCTCTGAGCTTGCTTGTTTTCTTACAGGCATTTCATTACCCAAATTACTTTGTTTTCATTTGCAGCCAAATGGTGGGATTCCTCATGACAATCTTGTTCTGATCAGAATAAGACCTGATGAAAATGGCAGATTTGGTTTCAATGTAAAGGTATTAAAAATTTTATTATATCTTTGGCTACTTTAATACTTCGAGTTTCTTTATTTACATTTGTTTCATTATTTATATTTCTCTCAAAGGGTGGATATGACCAGAAGATGCCTGTCATAGTGTCTAGGGTGGCCCCAGGAACACCTGTAAGTCTGATTAGAGAAAGTTTGCAATGATATATATGCTTAACATGTAGCACTTTTATTTAATTTTTTATTTCTTTAAAACTGTTTTCATAACAGCAAATTCCGATGCATCATTTTAACATTGGAAATGGAAACTTGGGATGTAAGAATTTACTTTATATACCTAATCAAAGGAGATTTTTAAAAAACTTCTTAGTTCTTAGGATTTTTTTTAAGTATTTTATTGTATTATAAGATGCAAGTAATACATTATATAATTTAGATACAGTGGTATTTATGTAATAAATATGGTGCTTGCTTAACTGATTGAGACTTATGATCTCACTGCTGCCATTGTTGTTAAGCTAATTACCCACAATTGTTAAGTGAGACCGTGACTTGTGATTTTACTGCTGGTGTCTGTATTGACTGCTTATCAGAAGCCAGCTGTAAAGTATTAAAATGGCAGTCAGGTGACCATGGGATGCTGTGACAGTCCACTGGTTTTGAAGTACCAGAATCTCAGATCTTGTGACTGCGGAGATGCTGAGAGTAGTAAGTGTATGGACCAGTCATAGAGTTACTTTTTCAGAACCATCATGATTTTGAACAGTCACTTATCAGGGCAGTTATGAAGCAAGGACTGCTTTATATATTAACCAAAGATTATTACTACTCCTTTGATCAACATCAGTTTGCTTATAGAGCAAACCGATCTACAGAGGATGCTGTGGCCATCACACTTCATAGACCGCTGAGTCATCTGGAGAACAATCAGAGCTATGTGAGGATGCTCTCTGTGGACTACAGCTCTGCGTTTAACACTATCATCCCAGATACACTAGTAGCCAAACTGTATAATCTGCAGGTCCCCACCCCCACGTGCTCCTGGATTAAGAACTTTTTGACAAACAGACCACAGTCTGTTAGACTTGGCCCCCACCTTTCTTCCACTATTACACTCAGTACTGGTTCCCCCCAGGGTTGTGTTTTGAGCCCCCTGCTATATGGCTTGTACACCTTTGACTGCTCACCAAGCCATGCAACAAACACCATCATAAATTTTGCGGACGACATGACCATGATTGGTCTCATCTCTGGAGAGGATGAGACGGCATATAGGACAGAAGTAGAGAACCTGTCTATCTGGTGTTCACAGAATAATCTGTCACTGAATGTCCATAAAACCAAAGAACTGATTATGGACTTCAGGAAACATGGACAGGACCACGACCCACTCATCATCAACGGAGAACAAGTGGAAACTGTCCCTACGATCAGATTCCTTGGCATCCATATTTCAGCTGATATCTTCTGGTCCCCTAACACCAAGGCCATAGTGAAGAAGGCTCAGCAGCGGCTGCACTTCCTGCAGGTTCTCAGGAAGAACAATCTGGATAAGAAGCTGTTGCTGGCTTTCTATAAAGCCTCTGTGGAGAGCACTCTGACATATTGTCTGGGTGTGTGGTATGCAGGCTCCACAGTTGAGGACAAGAAAACTGTACAGAGGATAATAAACACAGCTCAAAAGATCATTGGTTGCCCTCTGCCCTCCCTGGAAGACTTAGCCAGGTCCCGCTGCCAAAACAGAATCAAGGCCATTATAGAAGACCCCTCATACCCTGGCAATTATCTTTTTGACCTGCTGTCATCTGGACGGTGTTTTAGGTCAATAAAATCACACACCGCTAGACTAATGAATAGTTTCTTTCCTTGGGCCATCCGAACCGCAAATAAACACGAAGTCACTACCTCATTAAGATGTGAAAAGATGTGAAATCTCAATACCTATTCAGATGTATAATAACATATTACAGTACAATCCATCTCTTGTGTATATACTCGGCTAAGCATTACAGTCAGTGTTGGATGTATATTTTGTGTATATTCGTAGATATTGTATTCTCAAATTCCAAATGGAGACGTGGGTACTCTATCTTTCTTATCTTCATTTTTAAGTGCTTTGGTTTTATTGTATTGCGAACAGTTGCTGGGGTGCATCCACAGTTTCATTGTACAATGACAATAAAGTTCTTCTAATTCTAATAATTCTAATTCTACTATGATGAGTTAGGAAACAAACCTTTAAAGATTAAAAATCTTATATTAATTATATCACTATTAATTATGGTTTCTGAAATGATAATGTTATTGAACATAAGATTACTTAAATTGTACCTCTAGAATCGAGTATAGCATTAACACCTCCAAAGCGCATTAAATAAGTTTTCTGTGTTAAGCTTAATGCTTAATACTTTGCTGTATTGTTTCTTGAGGTTTATGCATATAAAAAAAGAGACGTAAAATGGAATGTAAAAGTAAAAGTTGCTCATAAAAGTAAATAGGTATAGGTGGTCTTCAACTTATAACAACAGTTCGTTTAGTGACTGGTTGAAGTTACAATGGCACTGAAAAAAGTGACTTATGACCATTTTTCACACCTACGACCATTGCAGCATCCCCGTGGTGCAATGTGATTTACATTCGGATGCTTGACAACTGGTTCATATTTATGATGGTTGCAGTGTCCTGGGGTCATGTCATCTTTTGCGACCTGACAAAGACAATGGGAAAACCAGATTCACTTAACAACCATGTTACTAATTTAACAACTTCAGCTATTCACTTAATAAGTATGGCAAAAAAGTTGTAAAATGAGGCAAAACTCATTTAACAAATTTTTTACTTAACAAAAAATTGGGGCTCAGTTGTCATAAGTTGAGGATTACCTGTATTTGGTTTATAATTTTCCCCTTCTGTATACTTCATCAATTTTCAATATAAGTCATGATGGTCCCTTGACTTATAATCAATTGTTTAATAACTGCTTGAAATTACAATAGTACCAGAACAGGTGCTTTATGGCTAAAAAGCATTTCTGGGTGCCATAAGCTATTATTCCACACACACCCTTCCCACATTCACAAGACCGTATTTCGAGCATTTGGCATCAGCACAGTGTTAGGATCAGGTTGTAGCATCCCATGATCACATCATTGTGATTTGCAAAGGTTTTTCCAGTTTCTGGCAAAAAAATACCCTTTTAGAAGGAGTTCTCATTTACTAATATGGTGTTTGCTTAATGACCATAGATCATGATGAATCACATAATGATAGCAGTAAAAAATATAAACTCTGGTCTGGTCATGTTGCTTTGATTTACTACCATAATAACTTTAACTACCAGAAATCCAATCCCAATTGCGTTTGTAAGTCAAGGACCACATTTGTAGAAATTTAAGTTCATATTCACCTTGCTCCAATATCCCAGCTCTATAAGATTCTGTGTAATGCTTAAAGTGTTGGAAACACAGTGGGTAAAGTGAACATTGTCTAAGGATGCAACATTAAAAATGGTATGGAAAATGTAGAGAAAATATTTTCTCCCTCTAATACAATATTTGGGGGTCTTCCAACAAAACTAAATGCAGGAAACTTTAAACTGATAAAAAAAAATAAGCACTTTTCATGTTTTTAGAGGTAACGATCCCAATTATTTAGATTCTTTTAAAATGATATTAAACAATTGGTGGAAGTCAGGATAGTCAGGGGCTGCTAACCTTAACATTTGACTTAAAGATCAGGGGTAAGGATAGTTAAAGGATTATTTTTATTGTAGTTCAGTTAAAATCCTAATTGTATTAAATAGATTATTCTGTGCTTTGCTAGTGAATAATCAAAATTTCTGTTTGTGATATGTGAATAATATGTTAAAACGATTACATTAGGGAACTCTAAAAAGTTATTGTACAATTTTATCTTTTTTATTGTTTTATTGTTAAATGTATTTGTTACCTATCTTGTCATGGGGCTACTCTAAGTGGTTTACTATAAAAAAAAGAAAGAAAATGAAAGTGTAAACAGAACAGAAATAAAATAATAGAACCATAAAATAAACAATGAAAAAGCAATACAACTAGAATACATCAATATGATAACCCAAAAGATGGGTGGGTAGGGAAACAGGGGTAAGGGGGTAAGGGGGGGTTGCTATCAATCTAGTACAGGGGTGTCAAATTCAAGGCCCACGGACCGGATCTGACCTGCAGGGTGCTTAGATCTGGACTGTGGGACCGGCCTGGAAACAGCAAAGGACCAACCCGCTAGTGAAAATGGAGCTTGAGAGGGTGTGCATGCCCCCCCGTGCCCCATTTTCGGCCTAGATGGCCTCTTGCAGCCCTCTGCCAATGAAAACGGGGTTTGGGGGCCATGTGCGGCCCCCTGGGCTTTGTTTTCACTGGCAGAGGGCTGCAGGAGGCCATCCAGGCCAAAAATGGGGCACTGGGGGCCACATGTGGGGGGGGGCAGCTCCGTTTTCGCTGGCAGAGGGCTATCAAAGTAAACTAAAAACAAAAGGAGAAATATTTCTCCTTTTGCATTTGAGCATGCAAGAAGAGACAGGAAAGGAGAAAGGAAAATAGGATAGCCAAAGAAAGATGGGAAGAGAGCAAGGAAGGAGAAATAAGGAAAGAGGGGAAGGAAGAAGAAAGGAGAATGAAGAGGTAAGGAAAAAGTAGGGAGGGAGGAAGGAAGGATTATAATGAGAGTAAGGGGGGGGTCACCGGGAAGTCCTGCCTTAGCGCTTGATCACCACAGGTGCTTCTGACAAGAGTCCCATGTTACACCCACCATAGACACACACACCCACGACCACCACCACCCCCAGCCCTCCGAGGTCAAACACAACCATGATGTGAAATTGAGTTTGACTGATCTAGTAGCTACCACCTCCAGTGTGGTTCTCCTCCTTTGGGTCCCCAGGTCAACCAGCAGGGCCAGGTTTTCAGGCTCTTGTGGAAGGATAGGAGGGTGAGAACAGAAGTTACTTTACAGGATAGGATGTTCCAAAGTGCAGGCTCTACGGCAGAGAAGGCTCTTCTGGATCCCAATAGTTGGAGTTCTTTGATCAATAGGACTCAAAGTAGGTCCTCTCTGCTGGCATGAGTAGGACAAGACAGTTCATCGGGTAGCTTGGACCTATCTATCCATCTTATCTACCTAGCTTTCCTTATTTTAGTATCCAATTTTATTCTTAAACAGAACAAAATATTTTAGAACTTATTAGGATAATCTCAAGAAATGTCAGAAACTTTTTTTTCTGAAAAGGCAACATATAAATATGAAAAGTAATAATGAACAAGTAAGCAATATTTTTGTGTCTGTTATGTTGATATGACATAAACTGGATTATTTAACAGTTGAATTTAGATGTGTAACTCTGAAGTACATAACATAATATAATGATACTGAGTGTACTCTTTTGCTTTTCCTCTCCAAACACAGCCTTGAGAGAAATATTAAAAGCTTCTGTTATTGCATAAGTATAGTTCAATCTGTTTTTGATAAGTAATGGTTAGTGAAAACAAGTCCATTTCATATAAAATATTATATGATGCTGGCTTTTCACATGCTGCTACAAATCTGCAATTGATTAAAAAAAAGTGAAAGCTTCCAAAATGTTTCCTAAAACTACTCCAGTGGGGAAAGTATATTGAACCAAGTATGCACAACCAAGTACACTGGACTGTGATTTTGCATTATATCTCATTTTTCAGTATCTCCATTTTGTGTTTTTCAGCTGTTAATTTAAAAAGAAAAGGCACCTCTCATATCTGCTAGAATAAAACTTTGTTTCATGTTGCAGGCAGATGTTTGTGTCCCTCGTTTGAATGAAGGAGACCAGGTTGTATTGATTAATGGCAGGGATATATCAGAACACACCCACGATCAAGTTGTTATGTTTATTAAAGCTAGCTGTGAGCGGCACTCAGGGGAACTTGTGCTCCTAGTTCGACCCAATGGTGAGTAATTTTACCTGTATAAAACATGCTTGTTTTTTCCTGTTATGCTATGCTTTTATTAGAACATTTGTGAGATTTATACTGCTATTGTCCTTATATATCCATAGTTTTAATGTAATTTAAATTATCAGCGTGTTTTCTGTATTAAGAAAAAAAAAGCCAAGTCAGTGTTTGACCTCTAATAGGGTACACAATGGTTAAATAATTCTGTGAACATTATATAATTGTCCTAATCTTCTAGTTCAAATGTTGAGATTGTTGAACATTGTAGATACGACAAATTAATTCAGCATACACAATATAAGAAAGAATTTGCTTTCGTCTTTATGCTTTATTAGGGTGGCTTAGACTTGTTGGGTGAAAAACCAGCAGCTAGATTCAAGACCTGAGTGCCATGTGACAGGGTGAGCGTCTGTCCTTGGCCCAGCTTTTGCCAACCTAGCAGTTTGAAAGCATACAAATGCAAGTAGATATATAGATACCATTTCGTGTTCAAATGTAGATAAATAGGTACCACTTCATTGAGAAGGTAACAGTGTCCATGATGTCATGGTAGCCACATGACCACGGAAATGTCTTTGGAGACCACTGGCTCAATGGCCTTGAAACAGGGATGAGCACCATCCCCTATAGTCGGCAATAACAAGGGGAATAAAATCCACATGGACTCCTTATTTTATGCCTTATTACTTTGGAATAATTGTTTAGTTTAAAAACACTACTCAGAATTGTAATAGTTCTACATAGTGCATATATTTTTAAAATAATTTTGTTTATAATAGTAAAATCATATACGAACTAAATTTAGAGTACAGAGAAACTAAAGTTCAAGATAAAGGAAAGAAAAAGAGAATAAGGAGAAAATATATAAAGAAATGATTTCGAACCTTCGTCACAAGAAGTGTAAATAAATTTAGTAACTTCACCCTCTCTAAAGTTACACACATTTATTTCATCATCCCATATCGCTTATTTATAAGCAAGATTTTCTTTCAGGTATTTACTGTTAATTTGTTTAAAGAACCATGGGCATCCATAGTTATTATCATGGTTTGCTGCTTTGTATTCCTTGAATTGATACATGAATAAGTTTTCTTCTTCCCCAGCCCAAATCTAAAGCTATCAATTTTATGTCTGTAGAGAGAACTTTTCCTGCTTATTCATTAATAATTTTATGCATATGTCTGATGTATCTTTTCATAAGTTACTTTTTCCTAAAGAAGAAATTTTACTTTCCTGGAGCATTTTGCAACATTTTTTAATTCTCTTCTGGTGATATTAATTGAAATAGATTACTAAGAAATGATAAATATTTTGAATGCATCAAACCATAGATTTTTTTCTAATAGTTATTTCTATTTTATTCAAATTTTATTATCCTTACAGAAATGCCTATCTTGTCTATTTCCTGCTTCTGATCATTTCATAATTTTTTCTTTTATTATTTATACCAATAAATTGTTGCTCATCTTAATGAAAGTTACAGACCTTTGTGCTTTCATCGTTTTGGCAAAATTTCCACTTTTTAAAAAGAAATCTTCCTTTACTTTTTATAGCTGCTTTAGCTCTGGGCAGTTAGTGTTCCAAAATTAAGAATGCTATCTTATATTCATTTCTTTGGAAGCAAGCCTCATTGAACCTAATGTGACTTATAGTCTGAACCAGTGCATTTTACATTTAAGTATCTCATTTTTAACTTTTCTCTAAGCCAGATGAATATAACATTTTCTTAATGAGCTTCTGTGTAACCCATTGTGGCATCTTGTTGGCTGAGTATGAAATACTTAATTCTGGTTTATTGCTCAGTGACAATATAGGAACATTTAGTAGAAAAATATAACCAGAAATAAAAAGAGCTAAGCAGGTTGAAATTGCTGCACTTGGTCAACAAGCAAGAAAGTATAATTTTAATTCATTATTTGTGTATGTGTTTTGAATTCAATTTTCTATATTGTGGCCATTACAAAGAAACTTGATTATGTATTCTATTTTAACTTGTCAAACTGCTAAAAGCAGCATTAGTTTAAATGAAAGAGTTTCAAATTAAAAAGCAAAAACCATAATTTCCTCCTCCACATTTTTTTCCAGTTTTGTTTTTGTTCTAACCAGTACTAATAAAATATGCTTGTTTTCCACAAATACTGTCTGGCACATAAGTGTCAAATGCATGCTGTTTCAGACAGGAAACATATGGAGCATAATTATTAAATGATAATACCATGAAATCTAGCAAAATGACATCTTTTCTTTTCGCCTGCTCAAATCTTGGGTAGGTGATGCTTCTCTACTGTGTGATTCCTAGATCTACTATAAAGGTTTAAAGGAATCCTCTGAAGAGATTTCAAGACTATAAGGATATAGCGAGAATAATTACCTGAAATATTTGAATTTCTACTGGACCTAGCCCATAATTCCTTCTGTGATGACTTACTCTGAATTTCACAAGTTAGTCTGAGCAAGCCCAAGTCATTTGGATTTCATAGTTGGAAAGGCTGCAAGGAGCCTCTCAAAGACTCTGGAGTCCCATAGGTCCCGATAATCTGAGTGATGTCTCGTTTGTTCCAGTATTTTTTTAGCTGAGGATAAAGACTGAGTCTATATATAAATATAGATCTAGAGTAATGGCATCTGGCTAAATAGTGTAAATCATTTTGTCAGTCAAAAGTTTATATCTTGTAAGCTTTATTATTGCTTTGCAGAGAAGTTTGAAGAAGTAACTGGAGGCTCCCTGATAGTTAGTGGTGACTCATGAGTAAACCCTAATATGGAATCTCTTGATGTGAGGAAGGCCGGAGAAAGATCCTGTGTTCCTTAGTATCAGGATACTTGATTACAGATCAAAATCAAGGGCCACCTGTAGAAAGGTCAGGATCTGAGATGTAGATGCTGACCCTATTTGGAGCATTTTTCAAGTTCCAAGAATAGTAAATATTTCAAGAACAATATACAAATGTGTTTGTTGACATCCCACCTTTTATCATTTTTATAAATAAAGCGGGGAACAATATCCAACACATCTTCCTCTAGTTTCCCCACAACAGCAACCCTGTGAGATGAGTTGGGCTGAGAGACAGTGACTGGCCCAAAGTCACCCAGCTGGCTTCCATGGCTAAGATGGAACTTGAACTCACAGACTCCTGCTTTCTAGCTTAGTGCTTATCAGTCACTGTCTCCCAGTTTCCAGTCTAAAATGGAATATCCAAAGAAAGGGAAATGGGGAAGAAAGGTGGAAAAAGAGCTCAAGCACCAGTTCTTATCTGACCAGTTTAGACAAAAAGTTCAGCAGTATTCTGCCAGCTGGCTATCAGTTGGAAAAAATCCAAAGGCAGTTGGTTTCTCATGTAAAGTATTAAAATAGATTCTCATGTTATTTTGAAGCTCATGTTTCTAAGTTCCTGTACCGATATATGCTAATAGTTGTCTGCAAAAAGGGACCGCTTAAATCCTAACAAAAATTAATCGGTGTCCTCACGCCTAATTTTATTCACAATACTTAGATCTTGTATACCATGCTGTAATGTCATGTTTTCAATAAAAGCAGTACCTAAATATATTTGTTTCCAAACAATACAATTTGATTCCTTGTCTTAGTAATTCTGCTACTTTTGGTTTATTATAGCTGTTTACGAAGTAGTAGAAGAAAAGCTAGAAAGTGAGCCAGATTTCCAGTACATACCTGACAAGTCCCCACTTGATGGAATTCACCAGGATGACAATGCTCTGAGAGAATCAATGTTTCAGCAAGCAGAAGGGCTTATCACTGGAACAGTCTTGGCTCAGTTTGATGTAAGTAATGTATTTCTAGAGTTTATGTTTGTTTGTGCACCTCCTACCTGAGAATTTTGGATTTTTAAAAAGCCACAGGTTCAATTTAGGTTAAGGAATACCTGGCAAACAATTTGCATTGCTTCATTGAAATTATTTTCTTAGATTTTTTTTTAATTTTTAGGATAGCATAATTATCCAATTAATCTAAGTCCCTACATTGAAGACAAACGTTTTAATAAATGTAGCTTTCTCTGAACATTCCCTAGCTAATTTTTATACATTCCCAATTGAATAAAATAATAATATTATTATTGAGTACAGAGTTACTACAAAGCTATATAAATATCTGTATCCATTGCAAAATATATGGAAATGTAGATCTGCAAATGTAGATTAGATATTACCTTGGTCTAATCTAAACTGTATGCTTTAAGGCAGAGGTGGATAGTTTATTTTTACAGGACTGCACTTTCAGTTTTGTTCATTTGTTTCTTCTTAATATCTGACATTGCGAAAAAGCCACATCTGTTCAGATGAAAGGGAGGGAACAGAGAGAAATACTACAATAGTGTCCTATCTTGTGTGAGAGGACCTTACAGTGTTTCATGCTGGTATTGCCATCCATCTGGACTATTGTAACATATTGTACTTGGAGCTGTCTTTAAAAACCATTCAGAAGCCGCAAATAGTCCAGAACATAGCAGCCCATGAATTCACTAACACAAGGCTGTTCTGTGGATCAGTAAACTTCTGAGTGAAACTTAAAATGTTAGTTTTAATTTGTAAAACCTTAAAAGCCTTTAACATCAGGCTACGTTTAGGACCACCTTTCCCAACTAAAATCAACCCAAACTATATGATAATTTCAAAAAAAGTAACTAGTGGGTCCCCACTTTTAGGAAGTGAAAGAGATAGAGGTCAGGAGGTGAGTTCTCAGTGAGTGTGCTGGCCTTTGGAAAGGTCTCCTGGCTGAAATTAGGTTGGCCTCATCCCTAATTGGCATCTACAAACAACTTAAAACAGGTATTCCTATAGCTGTGATGGTGAACCTATGGCACACGTGCTGGAAGTGGCACGTAGAGCCATCTCTCCAGGCATGCCAGCCATCACCTGTTGCTTTTCTTGGTTCCAGCGTGCACATGCACGCTGGCCAGGTGGTTTTCACGTATGTGGGAGCACCAGAAACCAGAAGAGCAGCTCCCTGGCGCGCATGCACGTGCCAGCCAGCTAGTCTTTGCATGTGCAAACCAGAATACCATGTGGCTGACGCACATGTGTGCACCAGGAAGCTGCTCTTCCGTTTTCTGGTGCGCGCGCATGCTCCCATTTCAGCATTCGGTGCCGAAAAGGTTCACCACCACTGTCCTAAAGTGTTCAGGGACCGATGGCATTTTTTATTTTTGTATTTTTAAAAATCTGTACCATTGGTGTTTTTATTTCATACAATTAAGGGTCTTTAACTTACAGTGCAAGGACACAGTGGCTCAGTGGCTAAGACGCTGAGCTTGTCGATCAGAAAGGTCGGCAGTTCAGCAGTTTGAATCCCTAGCATTGCGTAACGGAGTGAACTCCCAGCTTCTGCCAACCTAGCAGTTGAAAGCATGTATAAATGCAAGTAGAAAAATAGGGACCACTTTGGCGGGAAGGTAACAGCGTTCCGTGCACCTTCAGCATTTAGTCATGCCGGCCACATGACCACAGAGAAGTCTTCGGACAGCGCTGGCTCTTCAGCTTTGTAATGGAGATGAGCACCGCCTCCTAGACCTGGAAACAACTAGCACTTATGTGCGAGGGGACCTTTACCTTTAACTTACAATACAATTTAAATGCAAAATAAATAAACACAAATAAATAAATAAATCTACTTTATAATATATAGGTAGGCAGGAACATATTGTGAATTGTTATGTTACTTGTACATGCTGTCTCATTACTGAAATTCTGTTTTTGTTATCTAATCATCTGTTGCTATTTAGCAACTTTATAGGAAGAAGCCTGGGATGACAATGTCATGTGCCAAATTACCTCAAAATATTTCCAAAAATAGATACAGAGACATTTCGCCTTGTAAGTACTATTTTATGTGTAAGTAAACAAATTGCCTTTAGTTGTTATTTGGAAAATTAAATGTTTATCTTTATTTCAGATGATGCTACACGGGTCATTTTAAACAGTAATGAAGATTACATCAATGCAAATTATATAAATGTGAGTTGGCATTTATATTTTTTCTTTTATTTTTTGTTTCCAAGGTAAAGTAGCTCAATGTTTTATATGTAAAACTATAGAAATAGTTATTTAATTTACTTCAATAAGTTACACAGTGGTCAAAGTTCCTGCATTCACTATAGATGCAGAAACTCTTGTACATATTTTAATATATTTTCTAGCCTTCTCTTGAAATGAAGTTTGATCTAATTAAGAGCATGTAAAATTTTGACATTTCTAAATGGTTTTTGCAAATGTCTTTATTTTTAGATGGAAATTCCTTCTTCTAGTATAATCAATAAATACATTGCCTGTCAAGGTCCTTTGCCCAACACTTGCCCAGATTTTTGGCAGATGATCTGGGAACAAAGCTCTTCGATGGTTGTTATGTTAACTACTCAAGTGGAAAGGGGCAGAGTAAGTCCTCAATTGTAACTTTTACAACTACTAGATGCCAAAAGGCTGGGTTTTATTTGAAAAATTTTTCTTTCTAAACTGTCAGTATTTGAGATTGAACTATTACTTGATTAAATATTGGTGTCGGTCATTTTTAATAATTTTCTCAAATTGAATTAGGTAAAATTGTGCAACATAGATCACATTTTATAATAGTGCTATGATGGTATGCCATAGCTCTACATTAAAATGGGGAAAAAATGAAATGTTATCTTTCCATGATCCCATGTTAAGATAAATTGCTGTAGTATACTGTTTAGAACTATGTACTATTCACTCTTAAGAAACATTCATTACTAGAAAAAGAGGACTCATGCCATACATTTCCAGGAAGGTTGTCAAAATAAATTATAAATTAAGTAATTAAGTATAAATGAAATAAGTCTTAAAAATGGAAAACTAATTCTTGGTTTAAGAATAAGTTTAAAATAACAAGTTATGAGTTAGTTTGAAACTTCTTTTCTGAATGTTCAGGTTTAAAATATATGGACATGGCTAAAAGATTTAGCCAAGCCATTTAGTTCAAAAAGGAATCTTAAGACATTGCATTAGTTACAGCTTTATGTCTTGATTGAATATTCTGGTTGTTCCTCTGGAATCAAACAAAAAATAAGGATTTTTACCTGTGAGAATTCTAATATATTACTGCAACTTGTATGTTCAGAGAAGATTTTGTTCTGGCCTATTAAAGATCATTTTTACAAATGACAAGATAATGCCTTTTTTTTTCTTTAACCTACTCGTAGTGTATTGAGTTAGTTCTTGGACAAAGACAATAAATGCTATTGTATTTTTAGAAGATTTTGGAGGGGGCCAAGACCAGTACTAGTTGTCTATTTTTTTTAACCTTTTCAAGAATATGAATGATTATACATCCTACATTTAATAATATTTTATGCTGAGTCTTCCATTTATTAGTAATTGCTTTGAGCAACATGTTGCAGAGTGAACAAATTAGTGATATCAAATTCATTTATATTGTGATGGAGCACCAGTTTAGTGTAGTGATGAAGGCAACAGACTGGAAACCAGGAGATTGTGAGTTCTAGCCACACCTTAGGCATGAAAGCAGTCTGAGTGACTTTGGACCAGTCCCACTCAGCCCATGAGATGCTCAGGCTTGGGTGACAAGCCGATTGGTGAAATCTTGTTGCAATCAATAGATCAATACTTAGTTGATTCCCTCTCTCAAAAAAACAACAACAACCCTGGACTTGCAAGCAATGCTAAGAAAAAGAAATAATCAGTATTATGAGGATACTTAATAATAATGTCAATCAGTTTCCAACAGGTTGAAAAGCATGTGTTCTTATATTAAATGTACTTATAAAATATGAAAGAATCTTATCCAGTTAAACCAAATCTAACACGGCTATCACTAGGATTGATCATCTGAGGAATATAAAATTGCATTACTATATATTTTTTTATTTTTACTTTATACTACTAGTTTCTAAAAGTGACCTGCATCATCAACATAAATTCAGTTATGTTCTATATTGAGGACTACTTGTATGTAGTAGTAATAGTAGTAATAACAATAACAATAACAATAACAATAACAACAAAATCACCACCATGTCCATTGCAACCATTACATTAGTCCATTGCAAAAAGCAGCTTTACTTGGAACTGCTTACATCCTGGTATTTTTAACCCCAACAAACTACCTATCCCAGGTCTCTGGGAAGGATTCGATAGGTGGATAAAAATACCAAATCCAGTCTGAACGTAGCTGATTATGTGATGAACCATAATAGCAATAATAATCATCTGTTGACTTTAGGTAAAATGTCATCAATACTGGCCAGAGCCTGGCGGAAGCTCTTTATATGGGAATTTCCAAGTCACCTGTCATTCAGAAGAAGGAAATCCTGCCTATGTCTTCAGAGAGATGACATTATTTAACTTGGAGGTGAGACATTCAGTTTAATTGATCCAATTTTGTGAAATCCATTAATTGAATGCAACTGAGGAAAAGAATATTTGTAGGTCCTGGTTGAACTGTGGAGTCCTTGGTATTCTCTGAATTTGGTTGTTTTCTTGTAGACATTTCATTATCAAACTAAGTAACATCATCACTTCTAGAAAGGAATGGAGTTGTTGTAGTGGTTTGTACTGTCGGTGTTGGTGGGATGGTCTCGCTGGTTCCTTATTAGCCTGTTGTTTACTGTCAGTTTGTTTGTCTGAGTTGGTGATTCCTTGATTGGGGTATTGTTTACTTCTCGATTGTTAGTCAGTGTTACTCTTGGAAGTCAACTCGCCATATAACTTCATTTCTTCCATATCATTTTAACTTTTTTTCCCTGTCACAATGGAGAGAATTCTAAAACATTAGCATATTATTGCTAATATTTTATTTCAAACAAAGGAATAATAATACATTATTATTATTGTATTGTCAATATTATCATTATCATTATTAGATTTTAATTATTTTGCTATTTATTCCAAAAATAATTTTTAAAGAATAAGAAATGATGTTTAAACACATCTACTACTGTGTTTCTCATATAATAAGGCCAGGTCTTATTTTTTTTTGAGCCCCGAAAAAATGGCTAGGCTGTCTTTTCGGGGGTGACTTAATTCCCCCCCCCCTTGCATCTTTGGGCGGGCGGGCAGTGACGCCTTGGATGTTGACCTCGGCGTTGGTGGGGCACTTCGTATCGGGGTCAACGCAGGCAGCACCATATCCGGGTGTGCAACAAAAGTACTTCCTAATGGCAAGCCCCCCCACCATTCCCCCCCCCCATTTCTCATGTTTTAATATAGGCCTTAATTTGGGGGGAGGGGCTTAATTTCATTTCATGCCTATAAAACATGCTGGGACTTCCTATTGGGGGAGGCCATATTGTTGGAGAAACAGGGTAATAGTATGGTAGCAGTAACAAGAAAAGCACATTCATATTAGCAGTACAAGAGTTAGATTTAGACATAAGCTAAAGAAACTATAACCAGGACCTCATAGAGAAAGGTAGTCTTTGACTTATGACTATTCATTTAATCACGGTTCAGAGTTATGATAGCCTTGAAAAAAATGGAAATTTAAATATTTGGCAAACAGCTCACATTTACAATGGTTTGCCACATCTTGTGCTCATGTGTTCATAATTTGCAACCTTCCCAGCTGGCTCTAGACAATCAAAAATAAATTGGTGAACCCAGATTTGCTTTAACAACCAGAGTGAATTGCTTAGTGATTATGGTGATTCACTTTACAACCACAGTAAAAATGGATGTAAAGTCAGTTTTAGTTAAGTGATGACTCTGTTAACTGTGTCACTTAGCAACTGAAATTTTGGTCCTAATTGTGGTTATAAGTTGAGGACTACCTGTAATCTGAGGGGGGCTTTCAAAGTTTGATTTTTTTTCCATTTATTACAGTTTTTTCAGTTTTCATATATGAAAGTTTTATGGTGCAACATACTTCATATGGTCTTGTACTTCCTGCAATAATTGAATGATAGGTTTTTGGAAATGCTCTACTGAAAAGTAGATGTAGATGTAAGAGCACAGCATCTGCTTTGGAGCATTACAAAATCACTGACTCTGTTCTCTGTTTCATAAAAAAAGAGGAAAGCCATTATCCATAAGGCCCTGTTCTGTTTGTCCACTTCCCATCTGAAACAAATGGAAAAGGCCTTCAACCTGTGGACAGAGGAAATGCTGCTCAGCAGAGTAATCTGTGAAAAGGTGCATGCATATCTTTCTGTTTGAGCACAGAGATATTTTGCCTTCAGAGCCTTTGAGAGTACCCTTGGCAATCCTGGTTGCCCCCATCCAGACCTGAAAATGGCTTACTTCCTGTCCAGCACTGCCTCCTTGATCCAACCAATGGACCTTCAGCTGATTACTTTCCAAGTCATATACTAGTTACTATATTTTCAAGATGTTGATAACTCTAGAAACACTGAAGTGCTCCAGAACTTGATTATCTCTGTTCCCATAGGCTGAATAAGTTTTTAACTGGGATTTTGTTATTCATGTGTGAATGTTGGTATGCAATTCCTATGAATACCAAGGCCTAATTTTTCAGTTTTATCTCTGAAGGGAGCTTTATAAATTCTTATCTAAAATCAGCTCAACAATATAGTTGGTTTTACAATTCTATAATTTACAATTGTTATAATCTCTGCCTTATCCTTTCCATGATTTTGCGTTTCATTTCATGTCATGTCATTATATGCCACATGACACTAATAACTTAAAGCACTGGTGCGGAATTTACTTCAAAAGTTAAGTATGTTTTAGGAGAATATTGAATGCCTATTTATTTTAGAGAAAATATTGTGTCTCAATAGAAAAATGAGGATCGTCCACTCACTCAGATCCAGTACGTAGCATGGCCTGATCATGGAGTTCCTGATGATTCCAGTGATTTCTTAGATTTTGTATGTCTTGTCCGGAAAAGAAGGGCTGGGAAAGAAGAACCTGTTATTGTTCATTGCAGGTATTCTGTCATTATGGAAATTCCTGTGGCCTCTTTTCCAGTGCTGATAATGTTAGTTCATTGTGCAATGTTCTGACTAATGATGTGAGACACACAAAAGTTAGGATGACATTGAGATAAGCAATTAAATAAGGTAATTAGTCAATAATATGTTCCTTGGTTACTTTTGAGTATCCTGTGTTGCACTAGATACAGTAGTCCTCAACCTTTGACCACAATTGAGACCAGACTTTCTGTCACTAAGCAATGTGATCATAAAGTGAGATATCATGTGATATGGATGGCAATGTGCTACTCCCTGTTGCTACTGTTAACCGAGAATCCTGGATCATTAAACAAGTACCCATCCCAATCCAAGTCATACTAGGTATTGTTCCTCCCAGCCCTGAACCTCAGTAAGGCAGGGGACTGTCTCCAATTCCCTTTATCTGCCTATCTCCCGTCTCTGCCTTTTTAGCGGCCCTGCAGCCTGCCTGCCTTATAGGATGGCAAGCAGCTCCAGAGTGAGGACGTGCCAAAATGCATCTCAGCTACATCTGCAGAAGTAAAACTTTCCAGGAATTGAATGGAAAGGTTCCAACCAAAGTGAGCCCAAGTAAGATGTGCCATTCTGCTCATCCTTGTTTCTCCTTGGACCTCTTTCCACCCTTTGTTAGATTTTTCCTGAATAAAAGCAGCAGCAAACCCACCCACCCCACACACACATCCTATTGTTAGTCTGCAGGCAATTGCTTTCCCCCACCTTAAAAAATATCTCCCACTAAAGGAAGACTCAAACAAATGAGGCAAACCAAACAGGAGCCCAAGCTCCATGTCCCTCTATCTCCCCTCCCCCACCTCTGATTGGGAAGAAAGACGCTGAAGGAGGGTTTAGTTTCTTTGGAGCAAAACAAAAAGCCCATCCTCAGAATAGAATTTTTTTCACATCAGGGTGGTCAAATAAGAATGCCAGGCAATGGGAAAGACTGGAAGAGGTTTGATCTAATGGAAAAGCCAAGGTGTGTGTGTGTGTGTGCACAAGGAGCCATGTATAGGAATGTTACTATGGTTGATTATTTTAGCTGCTATGAAATTAATGTCATTATTAAAATAATGGAACCCTCAACACAATTGTACTTTTTTAAAGTGTTTAGTTTTCAGAGTTACAAATTTCCCAAAGTAATCTACTATAATGTGTGACAAATTATTTTTAGTGGTAATTTATGCTCCAAAGGTGCTTTTTCAAAAGGCAACTGGACTTTCTTGTTTTTCTTTGAAAAAGCACCTTTGGGACAATTATGACCGTATGTATGTATGTATGTATGTATGTATGTATGTATGTATGTATGTATGTATGTATGTATATCCTTTATATATATTATAGAACTATTTTAAACATTTTAAAAGTATGAGATTTGAAAATAATAACCTTTCTCTCCTTTGCAGTGCAGGGATTGGACGAACTGGAGTTCTTATTACAATGGAAACAGCAATGTGTCTTATTGAATGTAATCAACCTGTTTATCCCTTGGATATTGTAAGAACAATGAGAGATCAAAGGGCAATGATGATCCAAACACCTGTAAGTTGCTAAACAGAATAAACTATTACCGATAACATACCAGGAACCATATTTTTTTGTTGGAAGGGAATGCTATAGTCCAGTCTACAGTAGTGCTCAACTTTTGACCATAACAGTGACTAGAAAATTTATTGTTGAGTCTTGAAGTTTTTAAGTGAAGGATCACATGATCGCACCTGATTTTGCAATGTTTTTCTTAAGCAAATCACAATAGTTATTAAAATAGCTGGGGGAGAAAATCACAAAATACAAAGATTTTCAAAAAGATGATGGCAAAAGAAAGCAAAGATAGTAGTAATAGGTGCTTTGGATGCAATTCCGAAACAACTAGAGCACCATCTGAACACCATTGTCATTGAAAATTGCACAGGGCAGCTTTACCTGGAACAACCTACAGGCTGTGACAATATCCTTAATACCATCAAACAATATCTGCCTTTCCCAGGTCCTTCAGAAAGTCTTGATAGGTAGATAAAAGTGTTCAATGCAATCTAAACATCCAGCTGATTGTGCAAATCTTCATAATACCAACTGTTATAAGTTATGGATAGTTGTTTTATACTGCATTGCAGGACAGTTGAGTTTTATATACAGAGTTAACTCTTCCAGAAAAGACCATCTGAAATAATGATTTTAAATCATGTTAAAACCAGTTGCACAATCAGACTTGTATTAAATAGTCCAAAGCCTTTTCTTAATTATGCAATCCCATATGGTAAAAAGATACTGTCTTAAGACAACAGATGTAAGTGAACAAAAAATTTCTTTACCCAAGATGATCCATTTGAATTTTTGCCAGTTCTCCCTCTTGTTGCAGATTCTTTGCTTCATACCACATTCTTCCAACACAGTGATGGCTAACCTTTTCGGCCAAAGTGCGTGCGCATCCCCAAAATGCAACCTGCGACCTCCCCACACCCCCTGCGTATGCACATGCAAGCCCCCGCACACGTGCATGCCTGTGACTCCCGTGTGTGCCCCGCCCCCATGCATGCACGGCAGAGACCCAAAGACCAGCTGGCTGGCGGGAGGCGCGCAAGCACAGGTGCAGCAGAGTTGAGCTGGGGCAACGGCTTGCGTGCCCAGAGAGAGGGCTCTGCGTGTTCCCTCACATGTGCCATCACAGTTTTAACAGTTGAACAGATTTTAAAAAGACATATGAAGACAGAAAAGTCCAGCTGCAAATATGGGCTATTGCTTTTGTTTGTATGGATTCATACCATGGACATGAAACTCTGTTTTGCATATAAGCATATTAAGCAAGATTTCACATTTGAAGGCCTGCCAGATTCTTATACTCTGGTGAATTTAATCTTAAAAAAACCATGTATCTCATATTGCAGCTTACCTATAATTTCCTAAAAGCAAAAATGTTGGCTAATGTACAACCTAATTTTCTGCACACAATTGAAAAATATGTTAATCCTATTTGGCTGCTTGTATTACTCACAGTTTTCTTATGGTGTGTGTTCCTTTATGTTTATAGTATTTGGCTCAGGATAACATGTCATCATAGAAGTATAGGCTTTAATTCAAAGAGTTTACTAGATACTATTGACTAACTAGTAGTTTTAAGAGAAAAAGACACACATAACAAATACAAAATCAGTACTATACCATTTATATCTTGTAAGTAAATACATATGAATAAGTTAGTACACTGTTGTTTCAGTTATATGGTACTAATAAAATTAGAATCAGAATTAAGTTTACTTTTCCTTTGCAAATGTGCACATTTTCACACAATATCCACAAGATGGCATTATCTTATTTTTCATTGTTCTTATTTTAAAATCAGTACAGTATTTGAATCAGATTTCTAGATTCCCCTGTCACAATCACATATTTTACTTGATTTGCTTGTTTGTTTAATTTGTTTGTTTAATGAAGTTATTTGCTGCCTAACTGATAATGAAATGACTTTAGACATACCATTAGTGTATCAGTAATTAATATATGCAAATTAAAATCTGAAAAGTTAGGTCTTGGAATAAAGTGCTATTCATTAAAGCTATAGAATATTGCAATGTAATGACCTTCAGGATAGATGGCAAAGGGAACAAGAAGTGGCTTTTTACACTAATGTTAAAGAAAAACTAGTCTAGTTAATCAAGCAACACTTAGCTAATGAAATCATGATGAGCTAATGCTTTATGCTGGCATAATTAAAGTTGATTTTTGTGCACAGATGAAAATTATATTATTGCAAATATCAAAAAATATAGTACAAACACCCTGAATTTTGTTTGTAATTAGCCTATTTTTTTAATTTGGAAAGTAGTTCATACAGCAAATAGCAGGATAAGTAGAGTTTTTATATATTAAAGAAACTAGAGTTCTTAATTCTATTAATCAGGAAGAGTAATTAATAAGGTATTAAGCATAAAATATACAAAGAATATCATTCAAAGGTGGAAGAGTTCAGATTTGCTTCTTAAAAGGAATATGGGATTTAGATTCTGAATACTACATTTCTCATTGGTGTTAAGAGTTTTAGATACTTAAATATTTTGAAACATTGGTATTTTGAAAGTTTATTGTTAATCTTTAAAATGTTTCATTTTGCCATATAAATAATTGTACTTTTTTCCCCCCAGAGTCAATACAGATTTGTTTGTGAGGCTATTTTGAAAGTATACAAAGAAGAACTTGTTAGACCTTTAAAGACATCACTGAACAAATAGGAAGCAAAAGAAGATTTCAGAGAATATTCTACATAAGACACAAACTGTACTTGTGCTATAATGTTTCTTGAAATAAATGATGTCTGAAAATAATGAAGAACTGAAAAGGACTTCAGCACTATTGCACTTTAAGTTAAAACTGAAAATCAGTCTCTAAAACACTATGATTTTTCTGTGTTGAAAGACTCCATTCATGCTTTGCTTCAAACAAGCCACAGAATTAATGAACTCCATGAGTTCTGGATAATTTTCCAGACTTGGTTGCAGTGCCATATAGCCCTTTTGTTCGAAATACTACAAAAAAGAAAAAGGAAAAAAAAAGAAGCTTGGAATACTTTCATTCTTTACCACAATACATGCAAAGCTATTTCTTCCAATGCAAAAGTTGTCATGTTATTTGCTACCTTTTATTTTGGTGAAATATTAGCAATATTCTTTTATTATTAACACTGCCTACTGAAACAGCACATTTTTCCCTGTGCCCTTCTAGAACCTAACCTGATTACTAATGGAAGGCTGCAGTATGATCTAACCCAATAATAGCTGCATAGTGGCCCGCTGAACCAACATTTTGTTTAGTTGGTATATGAACATTCTTTGTACTACTACGTTCTGTTTCTGTTTCTCAGCAGATTATAGCACCAGTTTGTTCTGAAACATTGATGGGTTACCCATGGGAATGAATGTGTGTATTTTGTCTTAACCCCTTAAGTGCCTTGAGACTTACAGTGTATGTCTTAATGGCAAGGGACTTGTGGCCCTCAAGGGGAAGCTATCATAATTAGATTCATTTTGAAATATGATCCTTGGTGCTTAGAATATGGTACAGTAAGGGGTCACAAAAATACTGTTCCTAAATGCTGTTCCTTTTGTCTCTATAAGTACCTATGGGTACATTTACTGTGGGTAGCAAAAGCACTCTAGCCTATTAAGTATATAACCTTCGTTTACTGCTATGAATTGAAATGGAAATTCTGACACATTCCTTTCAACTGGTAAACTGCTAGCAATTTATAATTGAAAGTCAATGTATTGATTTAGAATTTGTTCTGTTTTTCCCTCGCATTGAAAAGTAGTAACTTGACTAGGATATAACATTTTAATTGTATTGATCTTCTGCTTGAAATGTGAAGATCTACGGTGAGATTTCCCTATCGTAGTTATTTTTCTCCAAGTTCATGTTTGTTGTTTCTTAAGTGATGTTTATATTTTTTTTAAAAGAAAAATGTTTCATTGAAGTTTTATCATTGTCCCCTAGAGCTTTCCGATAAGCTCTTTAGGTCTTTCTGTGATAATTTATTCAGGAATTGGCATATACCATTGGAATTAGCAGTAGCTGAACAGATTGCATATAGGTTTGTTTTTTGTTTCGTTCAGAAATGTTTCTAGGCAGTTAAAACCCACTAGGCAATGAATAATCCTTCCCTATTTACATTGACAATTTAATTCTTTATGAACTTAAATCTGTCTGTAGTTAAATATTTTGATTTGCTGCCAGGTTTTTTTTTTAAATGAAATATGCAGAATATGGAATGAGAATATGAAGTTTATAAAATTCATTTGTGTGTATGTGTGCATGTATAGAAAGAGAGTGAATGAGCATGTATGTGTATATGTATAGATATGCACACACACACACTCTTATATTGTAGTGGGAGAAACTTACAGATATGTCAATAGATCAGGAGGCACTTTCTCCAAATCCCCTTTTCCTGCTGTCAGTTGTACTTTCTTAGAACTTGTAGAGGGCTGGAAATAGAGGTATCTATTTCTCATAACTGCTTCCACAGAGGAATCCCTCACCTTAGATTAAGAGTCTTCCATGGATAGGAGAAACTTCTGTACTGTAGGTACATGATGCCTCGATCCAACTATGATGCATTGAGGAAATTCCCAGTTAGTTTAAATGTTATATAACCCTATGCCATGATGTGAAATGAAGGAGTTAACAAAATATTTTACATTTGTTTTAAATAGGTTTGTAAGCTAAGCAGTACTGTTTCTTCACAAACCAAATCTAGCATATTTCTTTAATAGTTCTTTATTGCCTACACACACACATGCACACCACAGTACTACCATCAAGGAATTGATCAGCTATTCTTTTTTTACCCATCTTGTGGTTCAAGCAAGATTGAATCTTGTAAAACTACCACATTCTTAAAAGAGCTTTTTCCAATCTGTAGAAATGTAGTTGTGTTTTCACAAACTGAAGCAAATGCGAAATGCACTTCTATTTCTGACAGCAGTGAAAGTGAAGGGAGTGATGGAATCAAGATTATTGTAGATGAAATAACGGAAAGATCCACAGGCTTTTGATGGACTGTTATTATCTGTAGAAATAAGAGATAGAAGAGGAGTTTCATACAATAAAGTGCAATGTGGGAACAGGCATCGAAGGTCTGCAGTCATCTAAACTTGTCTTACACATTGGTGTAAGCAATGTAAACCTTTTAATGGAATGTCTGCAGTGGTCGTTCTTACTACTGCTAGTTTTTGGTAAATGCAAATAATAAACGTACATCTAGTCATGTTTGCTTAAAAAGAAGCTTTGTAACTGGAAAGTGGGTGTTGACTTAGATACTATTTTTAATTGCTATACCATCATGCTGGTTATTTGCAAGATTGGTTTGCATTTGGAACAAGTTAAAATATATTAAATTATTATACCTATTATACCATTAATTAAGCCACTTAATGATTTTACTATTGCAAATATATATGTGCAATAGTAAGATCATTAAATATATAAATTGTCTCTTTGTAAGATTGTTGAAGGGAAAAATCGGATGGCTCAGCAATGTGTATTATTAATATTGTACATACACTCAGATTTGTTGGTTGCCAAGGTAATTTAAATCTACAAGAAACATTGCTACACCAAGATACAGTAATGTTGGAGCAAAATTTTGGTATTTGGTATGTTTATGCAACATAGAGACAGAAATTTTAACCATCTTAATGTCTTACCTCCAAGCTGATTTAAGACTTACTAATCCATGCCAACAAATACATTTTGAAATTATATTTCCTTGGTAGGGTCACAAAATTAATTAAAATTAAATTAAAGAAATTTAAATGTCTAAATTAGATAAATGGAATAATAAAAGTATCTTTATGTCTTTGAAATGAATATTCAAAGTACATCTGCCCACTATGCTATTAATATTTTACTAATATTTTATATGACCTAAAAATTAATACTGCTAATTGCTTTGCATTGGGTTATGAGGATCTGCATCAAGCTGAAAAGAAAAATATTTTTGTATGTGTTTCATTCTGTATAAAACATGAAAATGTGTTTCAGGCATAATATCATATAAAATGATAAGTGTTATGGATGTCGGATTTTATGGAGAAATATTTTCTTACTATTTGCTAAAAAAACTGGGGAGAAAAATTGTAACATTTCCTGTTTTCTAATTCAAATTGCTTTCATTGTAAATAAGAGCAATAGGGTAATAGTTTTGTGCCAATGTATTTTTTTTTTAAATGTTGAAAATTATAACTATTTAAGGTACTTTTGAAAATTTGTTTCATGCAGAAATCTAGGACTCTAAGACTTGTTAAAAAGGTTTTTGTTTTATTTTGCTATTTAAGTTGTGTGGCTTCGGGGTGATGGGGTTATACCAAGTTAAATATAAAATATCCATAGCCATTTTCTGAGGAATACAATTGACTAATTGCACCAATTAGAGAAATCTCTCCAAATCTGAGTGGAATATGCATCCCTAGTAACAGAGCCATTCACCATTTGCTTATTGCTGAATATTGTGAGCATAGAAGCAGATCTCTCCAGATGCATTAAAATAACCATGCCCCTATATTTTTATTAGTAGGAGTAGTAGTACGTGAAGAAAATTGTTCTTGGTATAGTTGATGGAAACATTTGGACAAGTAACTTTAGGATAAAAGTTGGACTATGTTAAATTACAGCATTATCTGCCATTATAGAAACAATAAAGTCCACCATGTACTCTGCAGGCCAAAATATTTTACTATTTTAATTCCCCTCCCCCTAAAATCATGCTGCAGCTTTCATCAACAGCTTTATATAAAGATTTCACAAATCTTTTCTACTTGTAAAATACACATTAATTCTAATATCTTCAAGTGTTGTAGTATCCTGCAATTAATTATTTAGAAATGCTGCTCTCCTCTAATCAGAAGGCCCAAAATGCAAGTGAAGAGAGCTGGAGAGAGGGTTTTTTGATAGAACTAGTATAGATGGCACTTTGTTGGAAGCAAAGTACAGATTACAAAGTAACATATATGGGAGGTGCAATGATTTGCTTCAGTTGCAGCTGTGTAGGGAGGATAAGTAGTAGAGAGAAAGTGGGATATCAGAAATTTTTACATCTCGTGGAGGCAGAATTCCCTTATATTTTTAGAAGGGTTCTGCTTGATGGACAAAGATTACAACTATGCAGGCCTTCAGTTGGCAATGGATGATTCCCAGGTCCTATAGCATGTCTGCCCCAGATACTGTATTAAGCCATATATGTTCCATTCAAGTGTCCCTCTTCACTGTGACTAAGCTGTCTACAAGGAATGGAGACATCTGATAGTAGTAATCTTAAATTAATGTATAGTTGACAACAATCTCAAATTATTTTGATTTCTACATGTTTCTAGATGTATCCATACATCTCCACATGATGTAAAGCATATTGGCCAGAATATTGTCTGCATGTGTATTTCACCCATACGATAGTGTATAAAGTGGCAGGAAAGAACTCATCTTGCCCTAGTTATTAATAAATTTCTAGCTGTTATAAAAGAGTAGAGGACCAGAAGAATTATTTTTCTTCTTCCAGAATCCCTATGAATTTTACAATAAGGCTTTTCACTGAAGAAAAGTTCCAGCAAAAATATTTCCCCCTCTGTATGTAGCCATTCACCATTTGCTTATAGCTGAATATTGTGGGCATAGAAGCAGATCCTCGGATGAATTAAAATAGCCATGGTAGTGATTTATAGTATATCCAACTGAACATAAAACATTTTGCAAGTTGGATTTGCTTCCAAGCAAATGAGTTGAGAAATACCTTTTGAGAGAGATGCCTTAACTGCAAATACAGTGACTTGGATCTAAAAATACTCTTGTATTTGTGAGAGGTTTCTGGATTACAGAAGGGGATTCCTGCAATGGCCTTCCCCAATCTGGGTATCTTCCAAATTAATGTGGAATTCTGGAAGCTAAAATCCATACAGCCAACGGATTCCCAGATTGGGAAAGGCTGCCTAACAATTTCTGTTTACTGTTATTACAGATCTGTGCCACAACACATGCCATTGGTTCCTACTATTCAGAATGGAATTTAAATTCAGAAAGAGGTGTAAAAGTGCAGGGTTTTTTTTACTCAGTCTATTAGCTAAGTCGTCTTGTGTTTTATATTTTGGGGAGATGATAATTTCATTTTTCTGATATGCTCCGCATTTGTTACAAACCTGTTTGTAGTGATTGTGTGTGGACTGGTTAATTTTAATATGTAGCTGCCATGTTTTCATAAACATGGAAAATTAACTTTTTCAGTTAGTGCCATTGTCACATGCTGCAAAATAAGGAACACTGGGTACAGACCTAAATCATCTAGTTCAGGGGTCTCCAACCTTGGCAACTTTAAGACTTGTGGACTTCAA